CCAGGGTGTCCCGTTTGCAGCATGTGTGTGTGAGACACCCATTGTGATCTGAAGTCTTCTATCTGGGGACGTGACTGTTTAACAAGCGTGTGGTTGTCACAAATGGTCCCGTGGAGACAGGGTTGGGCCCAGCCTGCCCTGCAGTTGCCAGCACCTGTGCTTCTTGGGTTTGTGCTTTTTTACAGGGCCTTACCAGGCCAGTGGCTTTGACACAAAACCCTGGGGTTGTGACAGCAGATTGTAGGTGGCATGGGGAAGCCATGGGCAAAGGTTGGCCCTGTGCAGCCTCAGTGCTCATCCGAAGTGAAGGTGGCAAGGTTGTAGCTATGTAATGAGGCTAAAATTTGAGTGAAATGATGGAATTGCTCCCAGATGGGGTGGGAAGTTCATTTCCCTGCTGAGCTGGCCATCCCTCTGCCTGGAGGCATCATGTGCAGGGAAGGGGCTCCTGGCTGCCTCCCTCAGGACCAGAAGGGGTCTGAGGGTAATCTTGACCCTCTTGAATCAGCAGAGAAGAGAGCATGGCAGCTTACCAGAGCTCCAGACTGCTGAACTTGGAGTTGGGAGGTTACTGTGGGCTTCCAGGGGTACAAGGTCCTGCTGACCTTGGTGCTGTGCTTGGCCCAGCAGGGTTTGCAGAAGCCTCAGCTCTTGCCCAGGGCGTGGCCGGCCAGTTGTCACCTGTCCGGGGCAGCGAGTGCCTGAGCTCCGCAGCTGGAGGCTGGTCCCTGCCTTCAAGTACCTTCCCCAGAAGCATTGGGCCCCTATGTGAGGGGTTTTGCAGTTTCCGTTAAAGTTGGAATGAGCTCAGAACTGGAAGTCGTGTCAGGTAGGAGGATGCCTGGACTGAGTGTCCTCTGGGGTCACAGCCCACCTGGCAAGCCCAGCCAAAGGACCAGGGTTCACATCCCAGGCTCAGCCCCGAAACAGGAAATCACAGGTTTGGCCTGGTGGTGTGCCGAAGCAGAGGTCCTGATGTAGATGGGCCAGGATGTCCTCGGGCTCTAACAGGTCAGCGTCCGGGTCACAGCTTGGACAAGGGTGTCCTCTCTCGGCAAAGCTCCCATCATGGTGGTCAGACCGAGACATCCTTGGTGAAGCTCTCATCAAGGTAGTCAGACTGGGACCTGCCCGAGTTGCCCCACCTGCCCGATCCAAAAGCCCTCAGTGCGTGGTCAGAGCTGGGCTCCAGAGCCTGCTTGTGGGGAGTGTACATTGGTGGTGGACAGTATTGTCCTGAGGCCCCTTTCTGACTGGTGTTGAGCTGCACCGCCCTGGCCCTCCACCTTTCTCCTCAGGGTTCTTTCTGTTCCCAGAGACCCTGCTTCTCTTCTCAGTGTTCTGAGCTCTGCTTTTCCTGGGTTTGTCTCCGTCTTGTGCACTGGGTAATGTTTGTAGGAATCCAGACTGAGCTGTCTCACCTCCTAGGAAGTGTTTCTCACCTGGGAAGTGTTTCCGTCCCTGGGGAAGCCAGACCCTGGCGGGCCTCTGGGCTGAGTGGGGACATGGGGTCCAGGCTCCACTCTTAAACCCATACCCTTCAGGGGAGCATCTGACCCCAACTTGGGGTTCTTCTCGTGTCTCTACCCTCCGTGGAATCTCTTTGTGTGCCTCGTGCATCTGGCCTGGAGTGTTCATGGACAGCGGAGTCTGGTGGGCTACAGTCCATGAGGTTGCAAAGAGTTGGACACAGCTGAGCAACTAACACTTTCACTTTTGCTCATCCCCCACCCCACCCCACCCTCAGCTATCTGCCTTCATGGGCACATCTCTGCTTGGACCCCCAGCTCCCAGCATGGGCTGTGTGCCAGGGCCCTGCTCTGTGTCTGCTTGGCCCACCCCCCTGGGCCCTCGTCTGATGGGAATCTCTGCACAGCTGAGCCGACCCCCCCCCACCCCCCCACCCCCCCGCTCCTGAGGAGGCAGGAGCAGCCATGTGCTTGCATTCTACAGGGTCAGCTGCCTCACACTGCTGAGGGCTCAGTAAGGTGCTGCCCATGGATGTCTGTCTGTCATGGTTGCCAGGTGGACTGTTGAGACCCGTTTCTCTGAGAATTGCTGTTGAGGCAAAAACGTTCAACTGAACCTGTTTTGTGAGCCAAGGACACATGTGTAAGGGCCAGACCTCACTTCTGAAAAGCTACCTTGACCTAGAACAGGCCGGAGGCCCTGGACGTTCCAGTCATGAGCAGGTGTGGCTCCCCTAGCAGGCGGCCTTCAGGCCAGCCCATGGTGCCCACGGGTGTGTCTCCAACTCATCAGTGTGCCTGCCTTTTGCTCTTTTTTTTTTTTCCTTTTGCTCTTGAACTTTGGAGATGAGCCACCCTGTGCCTGCTGTGTTTTATTGCACTGTCAGGACAGTCCCTGAGGACCCCATCCTGAACCAGGCGCTCCCCCATGGGGTTGTTTCAGTGACCCATGGTTGTTCATGGAGAAGCTGTTAAAAAGCACATCTCTTCTGACAACAGGGTATGTGTCTTTCGATGGCTGAGACCCCCGAGTGTCTCAAAACCATCCTCTGTACTTGTGCTTCCCTTGGCAGGAGGCAGACCCTCCTGTCTTCCCCCAGGACCACCCCCCAGCCCCCCGCCCCAAGATGCCACCGATCACATAGAAGGGGAGGCGCCCCAGTCATCCTTCACCAGCCCCAGGTGAGAGTAGTTGGGATGCGCTGTCTGAAGGACAAGGGGCTGGGGATGCCTGGCCGCCACCCCTGGAGTCGGGGTGGGAGCCTGGACGCTGCATTCTCTGCCCGCACCCACCAGGGCCTCCGTTCACCTGAATTGGACTTTTGAGCCTTCTTGGATTTCCCTCATATTTCAGTTGGTAAAAAATCCACCTGTAATGTGGGAGACTTGTGTTCGATCCCTGGGTTGGGAAGATCCCCTGGAGAAGGGAAAGGCTACCCACTCCAGTATTCTGGCCTGGAGAATTCCATGGACTGTATAGTCCACGGGGTTGCAAAGAGTCGGACAAGACTGAGCAACTTTTACTTTCACTTTCCACACCCATCAAGGGGTTAGTTTCTGACAAGTGTGTGGGCTCCAGGGGAGGTCCCAGCCAACTTCCCTCCCTCTGGGAGGCTCCCTGCTGTGGCGAGTCAGCTGACCCTTGACCCACTATGCTCAGCCAGGCTCACCATTGCACCTGGGCCCAGGGTCACCACTGGCCACCTGAGGATCTGTGGGGCCTAACACGTCCTTCCCGCCTGGTCAGACCCCGGATGGGTGGGCCTTCCCGCAGAAGCCAGACCCTAATAAAGGCTTCATCTTGGTGGCAGATGACTCTTCCTGTCCTGTTTCCCACTTTTCCTTTCCCCCATGTGTGAAGTGGGAGTTCAGTTGGGTCCCTATGAATCCGGTGGTTTGCAGTTTCAGCCTCAAGGGCTTCAAGCACATGCTGGCCTTGGTCCTGCCCAGCATGGCCTGGGCCTTGCATCTCAGAAGTTTGCTGGATAATAGCCCCAGAGGCCACCATTACCCCTCTCCTGTTGCACTGGCCAGGGAGCGGGTTTGACCTCTCAACTCAGCCCTTTCTCCTTAGTTACAGCACCTGAATTTCATCTGTTAGGTCATCTCTGTGAATACCTGAGGGTTGAGGAAAGGAGGAGGGGCTTTGCAGGGCTGCTGGGAACCCTGATGAGCAGCTCCCTGAGTGCCTCGTGGCCTTCTTGTGGTTGTCACTGTGAGTCTCGGTGTCCTCCGAAACTGGGCTGTCTGGCAGCAGGTTTCAGCCAGCGTGGTGATAGGGGCCCCTCCTCCACCAGTCTGCCCCACATAGGGCCTCCCTGGCTTGTGTTCCATGGGACATGGATGCCAGGCTGGCCCATGTTCCCTGGACATGGGTGCCAGGCGTCCAAAAGACCGGGTTCTGGGAAGGCTGACCTCGGTGTGGCAGCACAATCGCAGCGGGCAGCCAGGGAAGCAGGCCAGAGTGCGGTGCCACAGTCATTACACTCTTCTAGAAAATGGCCAGAGCCAAAAACACCCCCCCCCTCCCCACTAACAGGTATCTTTTCAAGTAAAAACTAAATACATGTTAAAGGTAGTTTTCACCATCCAGGATGGTAGGAAATGTGTTTTGAGTAATATGAGCTTGTTTAAATAAATTATCTTAATTTAAAATCTGGGAAAGACAGTAAATGTACCACTCAGAGTTCCTAAATCAGCTAATCTGTGTCCCTGAGTAGAGTGGGCGACATGCTTCTTCCACACTACCCGGAATGACCCTTAGAGACTACAGGCCCTATCTTTGGAGTGGTGAGCCCTCCCGTGGGGCCAGGGACACAGCTATCGGCCTTTGGGTGGGGCCCTGTGTGGATCCCTGGGGAGGCATCTCCAGCTTGGGGCCACCTGCTTGGCACAGACCCTGACTGTGAGATCCGTGTGGCCTATCCAAGCTCTGAGGGACCTGGGCCTGGGCCTCCTTGACTCTGCCCTCAGTTAACCCAAGGCTTCTCTCTCCTGGACACACTGCTTGCCACTGACGTGTCCTTTTTTGGGTGGGTTTCTGGATCTCCTCACTGCGGTGACTGAGCCAGACTTGGGTGTCCATGTGAGCTCAGTCTTTGCCAAAGGGCTGCAGTTCATCGCGGCGCTGGCCAAGATGCTGTAGGACAAAAGAAGCCATTAGGGACTTGACTTCCGCACTTCCAATTCACGGGGCAGGGGTTCTGTCTGTGATCTGGGGGACACAGAAGAGAAGGCTGTAGACACTTGGTCTGCTTTCTGGAAAGGTGATTCTAAAGGCAGCCTGGTAGACTGAGGGGTGTGTGTCCAGACACTGAGCTGGGGGCACTCACCCCCACCTGACTTGGCCTCTCTGGGGATTGTAGCACATTTTGCGAGCCACCCCCTCCCACCCCCGCCCTGCACCTGCACCACCCTGATGCTCCTGCTGGGGAGGTGGCCCTGCCTGGGGTGCTGAGCTCGCTGGGGTGTGGGGCTGCTGCACTTAATGACAAGGGTCTTTATCGAAAGTTCCTTAATTCGAGTACTCAGCTATACGCAGAACGGCATTTTACACATGCTGGACAGAAATAAGAGGATCAAGCCCCGGCCAGAAAGGTTCCAGAACTGCAAAGACCTGTTTGACTTGATCCTCACCTGTGAAGAGCGAGTGTACGACCAGGTGGTGGAAGGTGAGCCAGCCCCAGGGCCAGCCCCTGCACTGTGGAGCTGACCTAGGCCACACCCTCCACCCTGCTGTATATCCAGTGCTTCTGATGCATCCCAGCTCCTGTGGGCAGTCCCTGGTCCTGACCCAGGGCTGATTAAGGATTCCTGGTGTCTGTCCCTGGAGGAGGGCATGGCAACCCACTCCAGTACTCTTGCCTGGAGAATCCCATGGATGGAGGAGCCCGGCGGGCTACAGTCCATGGGGTCCTAAAGAGTCCATGTGTCTGTGGGCTCCTGCGAGCAGGGGAAGTTGGGTGAGGCCACACAGAGGTGAACAGAGGATCCTTGACCTTTGTGGCCCTGGACAGGAGATGGTGGCCTTCTGGATGATTGTGTTCATAGGGGCAAAACCACCCATGCTGGTGACAGCATCATGTGTGTTAAGGGTCTTCTTGGTGCAGAGGAACCGGGGCCTGGTCCTTCGCGAATGAGGGCATTGTTACTGCCCCCTGCACAGTAGGCTGGTTGGTGTTTGTGAGTGTGACCAAGCAGCTAGGGATCCCACTTGAGCACAAGCTTTCCTCCCAGCACAGCTGTGTTTGGTATGAGGCTCCAGGGTGGCAGGGAGTGTGCAGCCTGGTTAGATGTGTGATGTGGGTCCTTAATTGTAGTCCCCAGAGGCCAGGGCAGTTGGGTATCACAGACCCTTCTGCCCTCTGATTCCAAAGCCTCTTACTTCTGTCCTTCTGTTATGGTCAGATCTGAATTCCAGGGAGCAGGAGACCTGCCAGCCCGTGCACGTGATCAACGTGGACATCCAGGACAACCACGAGGAGGCCACGCTGGGGGCATTCCTCATCTGTGAGCTCTGCCAGTGTGTGAGTATCGGCCTGCCCTGGCTGCCTCCTGCACACCAGGGCTTCAGCAGGAAACTGACGAGCCACTCAGTTCATGTTCAGGTTATTTCCAAAGGTTACAACCCAGAACTGCGGAGGTGCCCACAAGTATGAGGGTCAGCAAATTGGTTCTGGCTAGAGAATCCCCCTCTGAGCATTTTACTTCAACTGATCAGTTGCAGTAGAGAGCACCTCACCAGGAGCTGGTTCCATGGACACAGGCCTCCTGCCAGTACCCCAACACCTACCGAAGCTTGGGGGCCCCAGATATGGTGTTAAAAGGGCGCTGGTCCTCTTCTTCCTCTGGGCTTATCATTCCAGACATCTGGCCCTCCGCAAGTGGCCTGGACATCCTCCCTTCTACAGGAAACCTCAGATTCTTTCACGGCTGCTGTGTAGCTGTGCTCAGAGCCAGACATTTCCTCTTAGAGGTGCAAAAGAACCCATCCAAGGAGAAACTGCTATGCTTTGTCTTACCTTCACCCGTGGTTTCTGCATTTAGGCCAGCTAACTGAGTGATTGGAAAATGAGGAAAACAAGTGGCTTAACCAAGAAGTATAGACAAGCAGGCGTGAATGTGTTTGCTGTGTGAGGGGCCCAGGCCCCTGCTCTCTTGTTACTGTGCCCAGCACAACTTCTGTTCCCATTGTGTCACATGGTCCAGAGTGGCTGCTGAAGCTGTAGCCATTGCACTTATGATCTGGCCATCATGCAAGAGAAAGGGCTGAAGGGGATGACATGTCCTAGAAATAGCACACATGACACCCACTTGGTTCATGCTTGTGAGAACTTGCAGAGGAGAGGCAGTGCTTGCAGGCTGAGACTAGGGCACCAAGCTGCCTTTGCCTTAGGCCAGCCCCAGGCCACCCCAGGGCTGCCCCTGGTCATGCCTCCTTCCAAGGCAGTGGTTCTCCACCAGGGACCATCTCACCACATCTGCATGCACAGTGGGCCTCAGCCGGGAGACACTAGTGGCAGCTGGCAGGGGATGCACAGGGTGCTGCCCTACACCCTGCTGTGCACAGGACAGCCTTCGGGCTTCCTCGCAGAGAGACAGTGGGCAGGTTGGGTCTGCCATTTGTGGGGACAGCGCAGCGGCGAGTGTCTAAAGTGCGTGTTTGCTTGAGCTCAGAGGCTGGCCTCTGGCTGCTGCTGCTCTGTGTCCCTGTCCCTGGCGGGTTCCCCTCACAGCACAGCGGCTCAAGGCGGGTCTCTTGTCCACTCCAGATCCAGCACACAGAGGACATGGAGAATGAGATTGATGAGCTGCTGCAGGAGTTCGAGGAGAAGAGCGGCAGGACCTTCCTGCACACTGTCTGCTTCTACTGAGCCCGCCCGGCACCTGGGCACCACCCGCTTGAAGCCATCTTTTTGAACTTCCTTTTGTTAATACTTTTTCCTCCCTGATATTTGTTTTTACCCTTAGGTATTCTGCCGGTGGACGGTAGCAGTACCCAATAAACTGTACATATGAAATGAGAAGATACATACATACCAGATCACAATCAAGTTTTTCCCATCCCAGTTTCACTTAGGAGTGGGATCTTGATTATAGTTTTTCTTTAACTGAAAAAAAAAAACAGAAAACAAAACGGTTGATAGCACATGACTCCCAAGACATCCGCTTCTCACTGAGCATCCCTTTCCTGGCTACCCTAACTGGCTGGAATGTACAAATCCTTGAATAAAGCAACAGGCTGTACTTTTTGGGAAAGAACCTGCCATTGTCCAATAAATAGATGTTGATGGTCACCTTGGCTTCATCCTGAGTTGCCTGGCCCTCCAGTTAGGGCCCTTAGACAACAGTCCCAGGCATGTGGGTCACGGGGAGTTCCCTGGCACCATCCAGAGGGTTTCCTGTTGACAAGCCCCTGCCCCTGGAATATAGCCTCTGCCCCGGGGGTTTGGGACCACTGTTCTGGTGAGCCCTCCTGATTTCTGCAGCAGTGGAAAATCTTGAGTTCCTGCAGGAAGCTGGGCAGGGAGTTGGGGGGCGGGGGTGGGGGGGAGTGGTCCTGTGTAAGTAGTGCTGTTCTGGGCTGCAGATGACAGGTTGGCGCAGGGCCCCCTCCTCATCCTCCAGCATAATGGGGCAGCCAGATCAGGCCTCTGACTTTCCAGGTGGACCCCTAAGGAGAGCTGGAGCTGAAGCTGGCCCTGTCCCCCCCTCCCCCCCGCCGCAACGGGGGATTCTTTGGCCTTTTCTGAGCTCGGTCGTTGGGCCGTGTGGCCATGGCTCTGGAGTGATCTAGCTGGCAGCCGCCCTGCAGCCCCTCCACTAAAGGCAGCCTCTTGCCATAGTGGGCTGGGTGCCGACCAGCCGGTCCGCAGCCCCTCACCCCGCGACCCCGGGCGGCGGGGAGGAGGGGCCTCCAGCTGAGAAGTGGGGAGGAGGAGAGCGGAAGGAAGCCCGGGCCGCTCCAGGATCTCCCCGGCGGGTCGGGACGGGACGCGGCCCGCGGTCCCGGGGCTCTGGGCTGGCAGCCAGGGCCGGCCCTGGCCACATGGGGGCGAGCGGGCCCTGCGGCCCCCGGGGAGGGGTCCGGCCGGCGTCTCGGGGGCGGGCGGCCGCGGGCGGCGAGGTCCCTCCCGGGAGGCGGGCGCGGGGGAGGCCGCAGGGGGAGGGGGCCGGAGCCGCGCCGCGCGCAGGGCGGGAGGCAGGGCCGAGGGCGGAGCGGAGCGCGGCGGGCGCGGCGAGCGCGCGGGCCGGGCAGCCGAGGACCCCAGGAGCGCCGCGTCCCCTGCCCCGCGCCGGCCCCGCGCCTCCTCCCCGGCCAGCAGCGGTGGGTGCGCGACGAGCTGACCTCTGCGGAGGCGGCGGGGGCTCAGAATCGGGCCGGGGCCGGGGGGGCGCCGGGGCCGGGGGGCGGCGCTCCGGCCCGGCCCGGCCCCGCCCGATGTCCATGAGCGCGAACACCATGATCTTCATGATTCTGGGGGCGTCGATCGTGATGGTGAGCGGAGGGGCTTCCCGCGCGCCCGCTCCCCGCTCCCGCCTCCCGCGCCCGCGCACCGCCTCCCCCTCCCGCGCCTTGTTTACGGGCCCGCGCGGCCTGCGCTCCCCCATCCCCGGCTGCCCTGCGCTCCCCAGTCCCCAGTGCGCCGGCCCCGGCCTGGGGGCCCCGGCCCAGCCGCTCGCTCCTCGGCGCTGACCGGTCATGGGCTCTTCCAGGCCATCGCGTGCTTGATGGACATGAACGCGCTGCTGGACCGATTCCACAACTACATCCTCCCGCACCTGCGGGGCGAGGATCGCGTCTGCCACTGCAACTGTGGCCGGTGAGTCTGCGCCCAGAGGGGCACACGCGTGATCACACATGTCGGTGGAAGTGGCGAGCCCCACGCAGGCCGGGCTGCAGGGCCCAGCTGGGCTAGGCTGGTGGGGGCTGCCGAGGCTCTGCCAGGCTGGGTGGGGGAAGGACCTGCCAGGCTCCATCCGCACAGGGTGTTCCGGAAGGGGAGAGGACCCCCTCCCGTATGGCCTTTAGAGAAAGGGCCCGCAGGGTGATGTGCAGAACTGGTCCAAGGCCTGGAGGCCAAGAGAGCAGCCGCCCAGCCTGGTGTCCCAGGAGGGCTCCTGCCCACAGAGGACACCCTCCTCCCGGGGCCCCCAGCTCTGTCCCTGAACTTTCCTGGGTGCCAGCTAGGGGGAGGAGCAGAAGGTCAGGATGGGCAAGGCCTCCCTTGAGGGGCATCTGCCCAACCCCTTCGGTTGTCCAGGAGGAACTGAGGCCGGGGGTGGAGTCTGCTCAAGGTCAAGCAGAGGGAGGGGAGCGCCCAGGCCCCTGTGCCCACTTTGTGACAGCCCCCCCCCCCAATTCTGTGCACATGTAGTGATGGAGTCTTCCTGGCCATGCATGTTTGTATGTCCATGTATGAAATAAACATCTTCTCATGAGACACGCATGTGTGTACCGTCTGTGCATATACATGTGCGCACATGCAGCAGTCCCTCAGCCCCACAGGAAGCCCACACGCTGGGGCCATGAGAGTGGACAGAGGCTGAGCAGAGGGACTTGCCCGAGGCCGTGTGGCCGGTAGGGAACTTGTGTTCTTGACCCTGCCCTGCACTCCTGCTCCAGGGATGTGTGCACACATACTGGGCTAGGGGTGTGTGTGAGAGATCAGTTTCCTGCCTCACTAAACACGCTACATGCCTGTGTGTGCAGACTGGGTGTTGAAGCAGAACACGGACATCAGGGCAGGTGGAGACAGGCGTGTAAATGGCCCTCACGTGTGCCGTGTGCTGGCCAAGAATCATCTTGAGTGTCGGCTGGGTGGCCACACCCCCTGAGGTCCCTGTATTCCTGCCCCAAGACACACTCCGAGGCCAAGGAATGGCAGGTCAGCTCCACACTAACTGGGCCAACGTGGACTGGGGTGTGAGCAGGGTCCCAAGACCCTCCAGGACACTGGAGGTGTGCCCGGCACCGGCCCTAGCTTCGGCTCCATCGACATTTATAAGGACCGTTTTCCATGTGAGGGCTGTGGTAGTCTGACCGGCACATATGTGCCAGGAACATCACACCACGGGCCTGTCTGGGCAGACAGGGTGTGTGTATGCATCATATGTAATGTCCAGAGTACACATGAATGGTGTAAAAGAAATCCCCATGGAGTGCAAGCTGCAGCAAGGCCTGTGTGCACAGTTTAGACACAAATAACACAAGAGTCACCCAACTGTAGCATTGAGTGTTTCCGCGTGTGTATGTGTTCATGTGTGTGTGCTTTGTACACACTGCCGCATACAGGATGTAAAATTCAGTGTACAAACTATTCTTGTACACTGACAACATGTATGTGTATGCGCAGTACATGTGTGTAACAATATACAGCACCGTGTGCGCCCTGTGGGCGTGGTGAATGTCTGCAGGGCACAGGCTTGCATATGAGGCCTCTGTGTACAAACCATGTACATGCACTGCCAAAATGGAGTCTACCTGTGTGTACACTCCATGTGCAGAGAAAGCGCACACACACTTGTGCCTTCCACATGCCAATATGGAGAATATTATGCAGAGGAAACGTGTATAAATGCTGTGGAGCGTGCGTGCCAATAGGCTTTCTATGGGCGCTCACCATGCATATGCTGTGGGGCCCACAGAGGAGGGCTGTGTGCAAGCCCAGTGCATGTGCATCTCCATGTGACACACACCATGCTCGGCCCCAGGTGCGTGTGCCGATGCACAAGTGTGGAGCTCATGGGCCGAATTCATGGTATACACGCCGGGTCCTGTGCATGTGGCTGGCGTGTATACACAACATGCGTCCAACCTCAGGTAGACACATGCAACATGCGTGGCCCAGGCAGGACACATGTATGTACACATCACAGAAATACGTGTGCACATGGGTGACCTGAACCCCCACCCACCCCCCAGGGTCTGGGAGGAAGGAGGAGGGCAAGGGGCAGGGGATGAGTGGCAGATGCCTGACCAACGATGGGGGCACAGGTCATGACCTTCGATCCCCTGGAGGTCCCAGGCCCCTAGGTAAAATAGGGGCTCTGGCCTCGACTTACTTGCAGGGGCATTTCTGGCTTCCTTAGCAACCCCATCTTCAAGTTTCCTGCCCTGTCCATGGGTGGGAAGTCGTGGTCCCAAGGATGACCTTCCCTATGGGGGCCCAGGAGGCAGGAGTGCAGGAGGCAGGGGCTCAGTGTTCTCAGCTGCCGGAAGGCCTGGCCTGGTCAGGGCAATGGGACTGCAAACAGGTGACTAAGGGCATCCTCTCCTGGGGGCTGGCCACTGCTACACACTGTGGGCAGTCAAGAATTCTCCATCTCTCACTGATGACTGATAAGAGCTATTGGTGAAATGTGATCACATGAGCTATGGCTGCCATGTGTCAGGCAGTCCTTGCCAAATAACCTGGGTCTGCTTATGGGGCTGTGGTGGCTGAGGTGTCTCCCCCCCACCACCAGGCCTGGTCACACTCCAGACTAGCTGAGGGGGATGGGCCCCAGGAGTCCCCAGGGGTAGCAGAGGGGTGTGAAAAGGGGCTGCCGTCACCACTGGGAGGAAGGGGCTGGGTGGCCCCTTCTAGCGTGGGGGTGTCTGTGAGGGAGGAACTGTAGGGGCCTGGGGTCAGGGATGACCTGTAGGGTTTACTGTTTTTGAGAAGGTCCTTTGCAGGGGAGGGGGCATGGAGCATGTCCAGTTGTGAGGTGGGGACGGGGACTCTTAGCTGGAGACAGGCGGAGGTGTCGACATGTAATTGAAGGGAAGATGGGGAGAAGCGGGCTTGGGGAGGGAGGAGCTATTTTTAGGTGCAAGTTTGAGGTGTCTGTAGATCCCACGTAGAGATGCCATGTAGGCAGCTGGAGCTTGGAGCAGATGTAGGGGGGGAGGTGGGGACTTGGTGGGGGTGGAGGGTTGAAGAAGCCAGTTGAGGGGCTCAGGAGGAAGAGAACCAGGCAGGAGGACCCCAGGGTGGCAACGACCCTTCAGGGCCAGAGGAGGGGCCACAGCTGGTGAGGGTGACTGGGGGTTCAGGGTGCACTGGGCACCCAAGGCCAGCAGCTCCTTTTCTCCAGCTCTCCTGCGAGAGCGGAGGACCTGGAGTTCAGAGTCTGGTGTCCTGGGTACTGGTCTCCTGGGCAGGGCCACCTCGCCTAGGATCCCCAGGATTGCTAGGCCCAGAGGGCTTCCTGGAGGAAGAGAGAATCTGGGCAGGCTGGAGAGAGCTTTGTGGGGGTAAGTTCGTTGTGGCCGTCAGAGGCAGGAGAGGGCCTGGAGGGGTCAGTGGCCTCAGATTGGACTGTCGAGGGAGGGAAGGCTGAGGGGAACAGCCCAGCCTTGGTGGGTGCTGGGATGCCAGGGGCCGTGGTCGTCCAGGAGGTCATTTACGGCTCCCATCCCAGGATCAGGAACCTGTGTGGGGCAGGTCCAGGGGTGCCCTTGGGCTTCCAGCACAGACAGTGGGGGCAGGGGAGGTTCCTGAGAGGGATGGGGAACCAGATGCCAAAGGGGACCAGACGCCAAAGGGGACAGACTCCCAAGGCAGGCTCATCACTTGTGGCTTTCCTTGGAGGAGAGGGCAGGGTGACTGCAGGGTTGGGAGGGAGAGGCCAAGGGGTCAGTGGCCAGGAGCCAGGCCCACAGGTGGGCTGTGACTCACTCGGCGGGGATACCCTACCCTGCCTGGGCTCTCACCCTGGAGCCTTTACCTGCGCTCTGTGCCTGTGACCTTGTAGGGGTCGCCATTGAGCCCCGGGCTGGAGGGAGAAGGGAGGAGGGTATGCGTACGGGCAACTGAACTTCACACTAACCTCTGACCTCGCACACTCCCACCCTCTGGGCCGGGCAGCTTCCCGCCTCCCGCCTGGGACCCACCAGTGACCTGGGTCCCAGGCGAGTGCGCTGGCACCTTCCGATCTCAGCTCCCCACAAGGGCTGCTTCAAAGATCCCAGCAGGTGAACGGGTGCGGCTTACTGCGGGGTCCCCGCCCGCCCCGCGGGACAGGTGCCAGCCCGCCCTGCCGCCCCCAGGCACCACGTCCACTACGTGATCCCGTACGACGGGGACCAGTCTGTGGTGGACGCCTCCGAGAATTACTTCGTGACAGACAACGTCACCAAGCAGGAGATCGACCTAATGTTGGGGCTGTTACTCGGCTTCTGCATCAGCTGGTTCCTGGTGTGGATGGACGGCGTCCTGCACTGTGCCGTGCGCGCCTGGAGGGCCGGCCGGCGCTACGGTGAGTGCGGGCGCGGACACCCGGGCAGGGCTCCGACCTTGCCGGGGCCACGCCCCGCCCGAGCCCCGCCCACAGCCCCCTCCCCGAGCCCAAGCCCCACACACCCGAGCCCCGCTCACCACGCCCGCACCCTGACCGCGCCCCCCGTCCCGCAGACGGTTCGTGGACCTGGCTGCCCAAGCTGTGCAGCCTGCGGGAGTTGGGCCGGCGGCCACACAGGCCATTCGAGGAGGCGGCCGGGAACATGGTGCACGTGAAGCAGAAACTCTACCACAACGGCCACCCGAGCCCGCGGCACCTCTGAGCCGCGCGCAGGACTCGCGGGGCCGCCGGCCACCGCGCCCACGCTCACGGGACTGGACGGCCGGCCGGGGCCAGGGCGCCCAAGGCCGTCGGGCGCGTCCGGCGGAAGGTGCTGTCTCCTCTTCTTTTTATAAAGGGGGTCGGGGTGGGGCGGGGGCGGTGGCACCTGGGATGCAGGCGGGGCCGCGTGCCCAGCCTGGAACCACATCTGCCGCTTGAAGCCGGAGGCCTCCAGTGCGCCTGCGTCTGTCTCTCTGTCCATCTGTCTGGTTCCCAGAGCTGGAGCCAGCTCTGCTGGAGGGGAGTGCGGCCAGGAGCCGGGCGCGGCAGGGAAGGGGTGGGACACCAGTGCGCCCACGTCTGCACACGGGAGCACGTGCATGAGGCGTGTGCGTTCGCAGGGCCCGCAGTAGGGGCGTGGGGCAGGGGCCCGGGGTAAGCCCCGGCCCAGCAATAAGGCCCCCGAGCCCTGCTGTGGCAAGTGCGGCCACCCTGCCCAGGGCATCCCGGTCGGGCGCCTCACTGTGACTCCCACCCCTGCTGGTCAGTAAATTCTCCAGAAAGCTCTAGCCTCTGCCTCTTCTTTCACCTCTGACCCTGGGACCCCCACGGCAGGAATGAGACAGACACTGGGTGATATCTGCCAGTTTTTTGTTTTTTTTTTTTAATTAGATTCTGGATTAAAAAGACACCAACTCCAGTCAGGGAGAGCTGTGGCTTCTGTGGGCTGGCCGGTCCCCCTGCGCTGGACATCCTTGGCCACGAGGTCTTGGTGGGCTAGTTCCCGAACCCTGGGTTTACAGGTTCACAGACCTGAGGGGCACACCCCTTCGGAGGAGAGTGGTGGGCACCCCCACTGGGCTGCAGAGGGACCAGCTCTGCTCACGGCAGAACAGCTCATGGCTCTGTTCTGGTCCTGGGTGGGACTCGGCAAAGTCAGGTCCCCTCCCTTGGCCAGGCCGCCACTGCTGTTCACAGCTGAAGCAGCCAACACCTGCTGGGAAGCAGTGCTGCTAGCATGGCTGCTGCCCCTGGGCATGGAGAACGGTGCCTTCTCCCCATCTGGGCTTGGCCAGGGGACATATCTCCCAGGGGTGTCCTGGGGGTGGCCCCAGTCAGCACCAGCCTGGATGCTGGGGGCAGAGGAACCAACCCCGCCTCAAAGATACCCAGGTCCTGAGCAGCAACTGGTCCCTAGCAGAGGCCTTTGACACTGCCTCGCTCCTGACCAAGGAAGATGAAAACTGCCAGGAGATCGGGCACCTGGGTGTTTCCTCCTGCTGAAGCCACCTGGCCAGTGTGCCTGGGTGTCTAGGCCAGCTCATTCAGCTTGTGTGTGCAGGGCTGGCCGCTGGCTCCCCTCTGCCTTCAGCCACTGCATCTTCTGCCTGTGTTGCTGGATGGCATCCTGAACCCGGGCGTCCATCATGGCCTCAGTGAGGACCCCATCCTCAGAGGCATATGCCATGGCCTGGCAAAGAAAAGAGTCCTGACTCAGGGCACCAGAGGGGCTGCCCGCACAGGGAAAGGGCCAGGCCTGAGGCTCCCAGGTGACTTGGTCAGGGCCCACCAGTCACCAGGAACCACTCAGCCTGTAGGCCAGCCCCTTCCTTGCTGCCACTTACCCCCCCACCTTGAAGACATGCCCCCACCCCACAGAACCCAAAGCCCTCTTGCAGGCAGGGCAGGCGGGGGCAAAGTCCAGGGTGCTCCCATGGGCTGGTGCTCAGACTCAGGAGGGGCCTGGCCTCAGCAGGACAAACATGCAGACAGACGTGGCAACGGCACATGCCTTGACTCCCTATGCACTAGAGTGTGCCACATACACGTGCTCACAGGCAGATCTGCAGCCCAGTGTGGCCAACATCCCTCAATTCTGTGGTTCTGCCTGCTCCACTAAGTTTCTCAATGACTTTCTAAAAATAGAAACCCAGAGGACTACTTTCAGGAGGGAGCCCCGCCCCTCAATTGCACGCCCTGCTCTGTGGATAACCAAGCTCCCCTCAGGCCCAGGGCATGGTCAGCAGAACCAACACAGGCCTGACACTAAAGGGAAGCAAAGCCCTCCAGGGGTTAAATGGGGAACATGCACAGTCCACCAAGACCTGCCCCTCACAGGCCCCCAACTGTCCACACATGGTGCTTCCAGAACTGTGGGGCTGCTGTGGGCAGCATTGCATTCCCCATACCCAGGACCCCAGCCTTGGCACGTGGCTCGGGGAACCAGAGTTCTGCTAATCAGTTCCCAGTGTGGTCCACAGCATTACAGCTGCCAAAGCAGGTCCTCTGGCCAAGCCACATGCCGCCCAGATGACCCAGCATCCCTTCTGCTCCCAGTCAGGCAGCCAGTGGCTCTGACATGTGCCTATCCTGAGGATAGCACTCAAGTGCCCACCAAGCAGGGGGCTCAAGCCAGGCTGGCTGTTTCTCTCCAGCTCCCTGAGGAGGTTCAGCCACGCAGGGTATTGGGAGCAAGCTCCCACCATCTGAAACTACCAGTCATTGTGCTTACCCAGGTGGCCCCAGCCTTGAGTCATGGCTGTCCTCAGCACCTGAGCCAGGCCAAGGAGGGAGGGGCTGCCCCTGCGGCCTCCTGCGAGGTACACATGAGGACAGCAGAGGCGGTGGGCTGGGTGGAGGCAGCCAGAGGAGATCCAATGGTGGGAAGGTAGGTAGAGGTATGCAGTGACATCACCATGGAGAAGCCAGGCAGTCACCATGTAACCAGGGGATCCAAGCCAACATCCCTGTGATGTTGTGTGGACATCTAATGCCCCAATGTGACATGACCAGATGGGTACCTCACCTTTAGGGTCTCCTCCACAGTCCCACAATCTCAGTCGAAGACACCCGACAGACCAAAGGAGGGACACTCTATAGCACTCCTCGAACCGTGAGGATCATGCTCAGAACAGCCCACCCAGAGAAGCCTGAATCAGTAGGATGGAATATCATGGACATCTGGGCGGGTTCTGGGTAAGATCAAGTCTGAAGTGGAATTGAGGGATGTGGTGAGACATTCACAGTGTGGTGGGGGCTGTGCTGGCCTTGTGACATTCCTGTGAACTTGGAATTATTCAAAAATTTAGAAGTTCGTTACAAAAAAACACACAAAACCTTAAAGGAGAACTAACACTAATGTTGCTCAAACTCTTCCAAAACACGGAAGAGGAAGGAACACTTCCCAACTCATTCTGAGGCCAGCATCACCCTGATACTAAAACCAGACAAAACACCACATGTAAACTATAGGTCCAGATCCTCTGTGAATACTGATGTAAAACCCTCAACAAAATACTAACAAACCAAACTCAGTAGCATACTGACAGGGTTATACATCACAACCAAATGGCATTTATTCCTGGAGTGCAAGGATGGCTCACCTAGAGAAAATCGACCTAGGCAAATAATTAAAATGGACAAAAACCACATGAGCGTTTCAGTTAATGAGAAAAAAAGTTGGCAAAATCCAATACCCTTTCTTGATGAAAACAATAAACTAGGGGGAATTCCCTGGTGGTCCAGTGGTGAGAACTCCAAACTTCCACTGCCAAGGGTCCTGGTATGATCTGTGGTCGGGGGAGAAAAAGATCCTGCAAGCCATAAGGCATGACAAACCAATAATAGACCAGGAATATAAGAAAATTTCTTCATCCTAATAGAGGCCATATAAGAAAAACTCACAGCAAACGTCATCTCAATGATAAAAGACTGAAAGCTTTTCCACTAAGACTGGGATCAAGGCAAGGATGCCCACTTTCAGCACTTCCGGTCAACACAGCACTAGAAATTGTAGACAGATCAATTAGACAAAAAAAGAAATAAAAGACATCACATTGGAAAGGAAGAAATAAAATTATCTGTCTGTAGATGATGTGATCTTATTACATACAGTAAACCCTAAAGATCCCCCCAAAATTGTTAAAAGTAATAAACTCAACAAAGTTGCTGGACACAGAAGTAACACACAAAACCACTTGTGTCTCTACAGTAACACTAAACAACTGGAAAAGAAAGTAAGAAAACAGGGGCTTCCCTGGTAGTCCAGTGGCTAAGAATCTGTTTTGCAATGCAAGGGACAGTGGTTTGATTCCTCGTCCAGGAAGATCCCACATGCCTCAAACAACTAAGCCCATGCGCTGCACTACTGAAGCTCATGCAGCGAGAGCCCATTCTCTGCAACAAGAGAAACCACTACGAGAAGCCCACACCCCACAACTAGAGAGTAGCATGTACAGCAACAAAGACCCAGCACAGCCAAAAATAAATAAATCTTTTTAAAAGTAAAAAAAAAAATCCATTTATAACAGCATTGAAAAGGATAAAATACTTAGGTATTACCCAAGGAGGTGGGAGGCTTGTACACAGAAAACTAGAAAACGTTCCTTAAATCTAGGATACCAGAAGATAATCTTGAAAGACGTCTGTGTTCATGCACGGAAGACAATGTTGTAACAACACCAATACTTCCCAAGGCAATCTACAGATTCAGTGCAATCCCTATTAAAATTTCAATGATGATTTTTTGCATAAATTAAAAAAAAAATCCACCCTAAAATTCATACGCAATGTCAAAGGCCCCCAAGTAGCCAAAACAGTCATGAACGTCAGAATTCTCACATTTCCTCGTTTTAAAACCTAACAGACAGTGGTACTGGCGCTAAGACAGACACAGGCCAACTGAACAGAACAGAGAGCCCAGACAGAAACCCTCACGTGTACTGTCAGTGACCTCCAACAAGGGGGCCGAGACCATGCACTGGGGAAACGACTGTCTTTCCAACAAATGGTGCTGGGAAAACTCTAAACTATAAAACTGGTAGAAATAAACATAGGGGAGAAGCTTTCAGATATTGGATTTAGCAATGACTTGTCTGTGACACTAAAAGCAGGTGACAAAAGAAAAAAATAGAAAAATTCAACTTCATCAAAATTAAAAACTTTTGTGCTTCAAAGGACACTAATGGATCTAGTGATCACAAACCCGCCTGCTAATGCAGGAGACCCAAGAGACACAGATTTGATCCCTGGGTCAGCAAGATCCCTTAGAGGAGGGCATAGCAATCCACTTCAGTATTCATGCCTGCAAAATCCCACAGACAGAGGAGTCTGGCGGGCTACTGCCCATAGGGTTGCAGAGTCAGATACTACTAAAGCAACTTAGCAGCAGCAGCAGGACACTACCAAGAGAGTACAAAAAGGCAACCCACAGTGCGGGGGGGGGCGGAATATTTGCAAAACCATGTGTCTGATAAAAGGTTAATATCTAAAATATACAGAAACAACACAAGTGTCCACCTGCAGCCAGAGAGGTGCACGAGGTATGTCCTCTGCACTCCAGGGTGTCAGGCTGCCTGACGAGAAAGGAGAATGACACCTGTTACAACACGGATGAACCTCAAGGACACTGTACTCAGTAAGTCAGTTTTAAGAAGACAATTCCAGTATGATTCCTCACAGGTCCCTGGAACAGTCAAGACTCTCAGAGACAGCAAGTAGGGGAGTGGGGGCTGGGGGCGGCAGGCAGGGGTGGGAGCGAGTGTTTAATGGGGACAGAGCTTCAGTTTGGGAAGATGAGAAAGTCCTGGAGATGATGTTGTGCAACAACACGAACATGCTCAATGCCACTGAGCTGTGCATTTAAAAATGGTGAAGATGATGAATTTTATGTTAAAAAGTTCAGGTTCCCATGATGGGTAATGAACTGTAGATGGTGAGACGCACAGACCTGACTGTTACACCACGGCACAGGGGCGGCAGCTGCAACAGAGCCCACACGATACCAGCAAGTGGGGAGTAGGTGCCGGGTCCCCAGGCTGCCCAGCCGGAAAGAGTGGGAGGGTGGGCAGGAGTCGCCACAGCCCAGCCCCAAGCACCTGGGGCCACAAGGGGAGAAAACTTGAAAGAGTGATGCCGATAAGTCCTGTCCAAGGCGATGGAATCCCCGTGGCATTTTGGGCCCTCACAGGTACTGGAAGTGGTAATGAGTACCAGGCACAGCCTGTGCACCGCTGACCAGGGACTGGATACCCAGGGAGAGCTCCCTGCAGGCTCCAGCCTCCCGTGCTTGCGCCGGGTCTCCTGACCCTCAGCTCCCCACCTGAGAGCACATGCAGGCCTGTCTCATGGCCTCCTCAATGAACTGGGAAGAGAAGCAGGGAGGGGAGGTGCACCAGGACCCCTGCTGCTGGGACCACCTGTTTGTCCTCCCTCAGGTCACGCTGAAGTGCTAACCCCAGCATGGCTGCCCTTGGAAACGGGCGGGTCAGGTCAGGTGGGGTCACAGAATGGCACCCTGCTCCTGCAGGGCTGTGCATGAGCAAGTGGCAAGGAGGCTGCTGCGTGGCAGCCAGGAAGCAGGCCCTCACAGCAACAGGAACCCCCTCGCTGGCACCCTGAGGCAGGACATCCAGCCTCCAGAACCATGAGGTGATGCTTGTTCAAGCCCTGGCTGTACATTTTGTCCCGGCCCCTGGGTTGTTGGTCACTTTGCTGGTCACAGAAACAGCCAACCTTGTGAGGCCTGCTTCCTGAGTGAGGCCAGCATGGGGAAGAGCCCCTGACTCCCACAGTGGGGTTTGCGATCTGGGGCTGTTTGTTACAGCACAACCTAGTTCATCCTGACTGACAGTCGTGTATTCCTCCCCATCACTGTATCTGGACGAGGATGTTCAAATTCAACAGATGTCCCCTAATTTCATAAAAGATGCATTCATGCTCAGCTGAGAGTGGCCAGGCTGTCATGTGACCATAGACACAACTCACTCAGCACACTCCACCCAGCAAGGACCATGGAGAAACGTGCTAAATGGCTGCTCCCCTCCCCACATGCAGGGAGCTGCCACCGGGATGCCTCAGAAGAAAGCCTGGTGTCAGGACTGACCAGGGCCACTCTGACCTGTGTGACCAGAGCCATAGTCCCGCTGCCCCCAGGCCCTCGCGACTCCACAAACCTATCCTGAAAGCCAGGACACCCACTGCCTTCATGGCCCTGCAGATCATCCTAAAGGCTGCGGGCTTCTGCAAGGAGCCAGGAAGGAAACCCCCTATCAGGTCAGTCTTGTCCTGTGCCCACAGACAGCTCCTGGGACGTGCCATGCCCTCCCAGGCTGTAGCCCCAGACTCTGCACCATGTGCCATCACCTGTGCCGACTGTCCTGGGCCCTGGCTGGAGACAAAGCCCAGTGGTTCCCGGGACAGTGCACATGTTGGCCACAGGACATGCCACTGATCTAGAGGGCCCCATTTGACCTGGACCAGAACGACAACAGGGAGGCCAGAAAATGTGAAGCTGCAGAGGGCTCTGGCTCATTCCCCACCTTGCAGGGGTCCCAGGATGGTGACGGCAGGGAAGCAGGACGTCACGTCACATCTGTCCAGAAACCCTTCAGAAATACCCCAGTGGGAGCTCAGGAACCAGTCCAACCGCGTTCCAACCACTCCGAGGGTCCCTGGCTCAGTTGGGCTCTGCCCTGCAGGGTATGTCTCAGCTCACCTGCCATGCCACGGCGAGCTGAGAGATCTCCCGGCCTGACATGCCCTCCGTCAGCTGTGCAATCTCCGAGCACTTCTTTCCGTAGTCAAACTGGGCCAGCTTCAAGCGCCTGTGAGGAGTTCCCGAGTGATGCCTGGGCGCCCACAAGACCCGCAAACGACCAGAGGCCCGTGAGGGCCTGGCTTCTATTAATAGAGGCCAGGACAGAGCCTGCGCTGGGAAACCCCAAGGAGGAGTGTCCGAGCCCCTTGCTGTAATAAGCCACACCCTGACCAATGTCCACAGGTGCGACCCTTCCACCTCCTCCCCTGCTGGGCATGTCCCTTCCCTGGGGAGCCCAAGACGGGGCCCCAGCGGGGGCCATGTAAGGATGGGGGGGCACAGGCTGTGCTCAGGGGCAGCCGAGGGGCTGCTCAGGACATGCAGGAATGGGCAGTGGGGGTCCCAGCCTGCTTCAAGCCCCACCGCCGGCCAGGGGGCTGGGGGCCATGTGCCCTCCCCCTGGACCCCCCAGCACACAGACACAGCTGACACTCCTGAGCCCTCTGCATGCAGATCTCGCCCCACTGGGCTTGGCTGAAAGCCCGAAAGAGACTGCTCAAACTCTTGTGAAAAGCCTCAGCTCCTCAGGTTGTGTACAGTGCCTGGGCTGCTGCTGGGCCAGGACGTGCCTTCAGGAGCTTAAGGGGACTGGGATCAGCTGGGGCAAAAGGGGAAAGAGGCCCAGGAGAAAGAGCTCGGGGGCGGGTGGCAGAGGACTGGCAAAGTCTGCCTGAGCACAGAAGATGGCTCAGCTGTGCCAGGTGGATCCAGGTCAGTGGGGCTGAGATCCGGTCCCCGGGGAAGGTTACAAATAGAGCAGGCTTATCTGGAGCACTCCTGAAAGCACAGCAGTGCGGGGCGGGGGGATTCTGGACGAGCAAGGAGGGTTACCTCAGCCAGTGGGCCCTGTTGTGTGCAGTGAGGGGCCCAGAGCAAGGCTCAAAGAGTCCAGAAGTGGGCTGTCATGGCCCCTCACTACCAGGACCCAAGTGTGGCCTTGATCTGAGGAGTCTGAAGGCAGGATGGAGGCAGGGAATCAATGAGTGGATAGGCTAGGAGGGCAGGGCCTCCAATAACGGGTGGGTACGACCCCGTGGTGAAACCCCAGGGACAGGGTTAGGGTAGATGCCCATGTGGGCACTGGGGGGAGGGACCAACATGACAGGCAGGGGGTGCCATGGTGGCAGGACACTTACTGCTTTCCTTCTGTAGCTGGTTTAAGAACATACTTGTCAAAATACATTCTCACCAGGCGCTCCCGCTCCTCCCGCTGTGGTAGCTCAAAGCTGACCATCTCATCGATACGGTCGTTGATGGCCCAGTCAAACTGCTCGGGCTGGTTGCTGGCCAGGACCAGCATGAACCTGCAGCCAACACACGGCAAAAGGGCGGGCTGATGTCCAGCAGGGTCTACTGGGCAGCTTCTCAGCCCACAAAACTGGGGAGACTAGCATCACCCTCTACCACCTGCCCTCCCTGTCTTGCCCCCATTTCCCACTTCTCTTGACTGATGGCCCAGCCTGGGGGGAGGGCTGTGAAACCTCCATGTGCAGGAAGGGCAGGGACCCAGGGACCTAGGATGGAGACAGACCCTTGCCCCTCCCCAGTCAAGTGCACAGTCTCAAGGCCTGGCGCTCAGCCCAGCAGAGGCACAACCCAGGAGGAAGTCAACATGCCTCCCAGAGGCCAGGCTGGGCTCTCCACGGGCAACAGCTGCAGTAGGCAGGGGGCTGGAGGGGTCCTGCCCATGCAGAGCACAAGATTAGGGGCCCAGAAGGGCCAGCCCACCCCAGGGTCACCTGACGGTGTAGTGGCCTGACAATGCATCTCGGGGGCAGTCAGAAGTGCCAAGGGCCTGTGGATGAGCATGTGCCACTGGGCTCAGCCTCAGCCTACAGCATGTCTCAGGGGTGCCCACAAATGTCCCCCAGTGCCCAACTGGCCATCCCACTGCATGGAGGGAGGACACAGGAGGCTGTCTGGTCATGTGGGCTGGCTACCCCGCAGCAGCCACATGAGCCGAGGCAGGGCTGCTGGCTACCCTTTCTCACTTGCTGCTGTGCTGGCCCGTGCGGTGCAGGAAGGCATTCAGGGTGGCCCTGAGGTCTTCACTGATCTTCTCCTGCACAAAGAAGGGTCAAGCTGTAAGCAGCCATGCAAACAGTCAGGATCCCTCATCCAGGAGAGAAACATGGCAAGGCCTTCACAGAACTAAGCTCAAAGGCTGAATGAAGCTTAGCTCTGAAAAGATGCTAAACTTCCGCTTTTCAAACGAAATGTATGACCAAAGTGTGACTGTAGAGCAGGCTCCCAACAACCTTCCCGTAAGTGTAGATGCGGCCCAGGCCACCTACCCACCCGCTCCCCAGCAGCCAACCCAGCTCAGGACAGATGGGGCCTCTAGACACTTACAGTCGCTCGCTTCCTGAGAAAGGCATCTGCTTCGTCCACAAAGAGCAGGAGGCTGCGAGGGCAGGGCCACGTGAGGGCAGGCAGCGCACAGCCCAGCAGAAACCCCTCACTTAGCACTGTCCCCAGTGGCCTCTGGGACCCAGAGCCTGGCTACAGATCGGGACGTGTCCAGTGCCAGTGTTGGGGAATGTAACTAAAAAGGGGCTGATGAGCCCTCATCTTAAACACTGATAAGTCACCGACACCAAGAGGCCCTGGGACCTCAGGGACAGGCTGTGGGGAAGGCACCGACCCCTTTCCCAGCAGGAGCCCCGGCTCACCCTCGCCGGCTGGTGCTGGCCCAGTCGAAGACCTTGTGCATGGCCGTCACGCCGTCCCGCCCCATGGGGGCCACATCCCCGCCCGTCATGATGGCGTAGTCCATACCGGAGTGCAGCGCCAGTTTCTGGGCATTTGGGGAAGGGGCTTTAAGGGCTGCTCCACCTACCGCCCACTCCACCTCTCCTGGGCACCAGGGCCGGACCACGTGTGTGGAGACACCTGGCCTGCAGATCTGGACAGGGACACGTGTCCCAGGCAGGTGAGATGCCACCACCCTCAGTCCCGCCTGGGCCCTCACCTTGGCAAACAGCGTTTTGCCAGTCCCGGGTGGCCCATACATCAGGACATTTCGGTACAGACTTCTGTTCTTCTTGGTGTTCCTTGTGGCGATGGCGATGTCCCGCACGCGAGCCTCCAGGCTGGGCTGCCAGGGGACACAGTGTTTTGGGGGCGCTCTGCTGTCCAGTCCGTCCCTCCTGAGGGCCTGGGCTGGTGGTGCAAGAGGCCGCTCTCCCCGGCTGGACTCAGCCAGCAAACCGACTCCTGGGAGGTTGGGCAGCCCCACTTACGCTGAGGACGACGCCCTCCAACGCATCCTGAGGTTTACTGAGGAGGCGCCTGCTGACCTGCGGGGTGGGGGGAGGGTCAACAGTGGAGCCCATGGCGCGGTCACACCAGAACGCAAGCCAGCAGTTTCCTGGACAAGGTTGGCAGGGGAGACTGTCCACAATGCTGACCTCGAGCGCTGACCTCACAGTACAGCCCAGAAGGTGCAGGGGACGCCTGGCTCCCCTCGAGGGGAGTCGAGCCCAGGCTGACTCCAACACCTTCTCTTTCGGGAGGACAGCTCGCCGCAGCCCCAGGAGTTTATAAACAAGCAGGGAGGGTGATCCACCCAGGGGGATGGCCACCCCGACAGACCCCCGGAAGGACTGAGTGGACCAGGGTGAGAGTCCCCAGGTGCTGACATCACAGGGCCCAAGGGGCAGCATCAAGGAGGCAATGCAGCACACAGGAGGAGGGTGGCATCTGGGCAGAAGAGGAGGAAGGGGCCGTTGGGTGTGTGTGCCCAAGACCTGCGGTTACCTGTATGGGGTGCCTCAGCGCCTCCAGCATTGTGATGCGAGACGTCTCCCGCACCAGGGACGGCTTCCCCAGCCGGGCCTCAAAGTACCGCCCTGCGACGGACGTGGCGTTCTTGGCAGAATAGATCCCAACAGCCAGCAGTGTCAGCCCGGCCACCTGGAGTGGGCAGAGGAGGCAGGTGGTTCACCCCATCCCCTGGCTCCCCCACTGTGGAGTCTTGCCAGGCCCACCAGCACCGGTGCACCAAAGGGCTGGCACCAGGGAGATGAAACGGGCATCTGGCACCCCCAACGCCTTCCCCCCAGCCTCACCAAGGTTGACTCTGAGTCGTTTGAAGTGTCCCAAACCCAAAGGCCAAGTCACTTGTGCCTTTCTGGTAGGGGAGGGGTGAGCACTCAGCACAGGCACCAACCCCCAATGGCTTGCAGAGCCCCTGACATATGAGTGTACCCCAGGGAAGAAGGCAAAGGCGCTTACCGTGGCTGTCACTTTGTCCCAGTCTGTCACAAAGGCACGGAACCCTTCACCAAACAGGGTGCCTGCTGTCCTGCAGGGGAGCAGTGGCATGACCCAGAAGGCATCAGGCCATGTGCCACATGGTTGGAGGCCCCCAGGTCAGCCCCAAGGGGCACTGTGAAGGACCAGCCAGGGGAGGAGTAGGGCACCCACATAGGAAAGGGGCCAGCGGAAGCCTGCCAGGCAGGGCCTCACCTGATGGACTCTAGGATGGTCTGGCGGTGCTCAGCGGCCTTCAGGCGGATTTGCTCACGGATGATATCGGCGTTCTCGCGCTCAGCCTTGGCCCGGGCACGCGCCTCGGCCTCCACCCGCAGCATCTCATTCTTGTGCCGCAACTCCATCTCCCGCTCCACGGTGGCTGCCCGGGGAGGGAGCAGGGTTGGTGCTCAGCCCATGGCCCCCCACCCAGGGCTGCTACACAGGACAAGCGAGCCAGGGTGCCCTCCAACCCCAGGGTCTCAGCAGGCCCACCCCTGATGCTGCTTGGGGAGTGAAGGGCCTAAAGCAAGGGTGTGACCAGTGGTCATGAGCTTCCAAGTCAGGGCCCTACCTCGCCGCAGGGCCTCCTGCTTCTGCACAGATTCCTCTTGCTTCCGTAAATTCTCCTCATTGAGAAGTTGCTGAGAAGGAGCCACAAGGGGAAGGGAAGGGCTTCAAGATTAGGAAACAGGCAATATCACACCAACAGGTTAGCTGCTCTGGCCTTGGAGACATCCCCACTGCTCCTAGGGCTCCAACCTCCTGGGGACGGTCAGTCACCCTGGGGCCTGCAGGCTGCAGTCTAAGACAGGAAGGAACCTTGGTCCCCCACTCAGCTCAGCCTTGGGGTGGCCCTGACCCACGGCTGTCCTCATGAAATGGGCCATTTGCCGAACTGTTGAATTTAGAAGTTAAAATGCCAACAGTCTCAGTGTTTGAATGCCCCCTACAAACTCACTCATCAGTCAAGTCCCACTTGGGAGACCATCAGGGCAGCTCGGTTTGAATCCTTCCTCTCCGCCCCTCAACCCAGCACTTGCTGACAAGAGGATCCCAGACTCTGGCTCCCATGCAGCCTTGGGGAAGATAAGCGGCCAGGCAGTGCTCACCTGCTGCTTTAGCTGGTCCTCATAGCGCTGCCGGGCCAGCTTGTCCTGGTACTGGGCCCTCTAGGGAGGGAGAGGGCGGTGTGAACACAGCCCAGCCTCAGGAACTAAGGTCTAGGCTGGGCCCCCACAGGCACAGTTGCTGATGAGCACCCCTCCCCAGCCCCGCTCTCTTACGGCCTGGTGCTGCCGCGTCTCCTCACTCAGGGTCTTCCTCCGCTCCTCAGCCTGCACTCGGATCTGATCGCCCTTCAGCTGCTCTACTGCGGCCTCGTACTCCTGCAGGACACACCAGCTGCTGTGAGCCAGGGCCTGGTCAGGCTTCCTGCCCCCTCTTCCCCCTCTGAGGGGGCTCCGAAGGGGCTGGACAGCGATGTAGCCTGTTCCGCACCCCCAAAGGCCTGTGAGTGCTCAGCTACAACCACACCAAGGCCCAGGAGGACCCAGACCCATTGGCAAAGAGAAGCCAGGAGATGGGCTGGGCCAATGCCAAAGTAGCCAGAGAGTCTCCTGGGGTGCCTGTCCCCCCTCAACCCCAAGCCCCCACATGTACTTATGCCAGCTGCTCACTTCCTCATTCGCTTTACAACAACCCAGGTGGAACACAGAGCAGGGCATTTCCACATTTGCTCACTATGTGCTCAGTGTGAGGCCGGGGCTCGCCTATGAGAAACCAGACTCCTCATCCACACCGGCCTTCCAGAAGGTTCTGTGCAGAACTCAGGCCACACACCTGTGCTGATGCCCATTTCCCTCGAACCTGAGGAGGTGCCTGTGCACCCACCGCCTGCCTGTGTTCTCTCACCCTCCCCCAGCACCCACCCTCACTGATCACCCCATCCTCTCCACCCTCCAACCCCTAGCACCCATCTTGCACCTATTGCCTGTGTCCTCTCTGGGCCCCTCCCCACCCCCAGCGCCCACCTTTACCCACCTTGAGCTTGGCCTGATGCTCCAGCTGAAGTGTTTGCTCCTGCATCTGAGCCAGACTCAGTGCCTCTTTGGCGTGTCCTGGGGGAAGGGATGTGTAGGCATCAGGACACCAGGCAAGCATTCACACGGGCTAGGGGTGCTCAAGGGCACCACAGCCTCAACCTGAAAGCACACTTGGCCACACTGGTTCCTGGTCAGATCTGCTCAGAGAGCCCCCGCTAAAAAGAACACTGCCCCATCTTGCCACTTTTGTCTGTTCCACCCCCAACAGAAAACCCACATGTGGGGTCTGCCCCCAGGTGACCGTCACACCCCAGAGGGCTCCAGCAGAGAGGCTGACCACCGCTTGTCCACTGACAGCAGGAGAGTCAAGCCTGTGGTTACACTGTCTATTTTTCAAGTGCGAATGTTTCTCTTCAGCCTCTGATACCTGTTACTGTTCTACAACTGAGCACAGGCAGGTGAGAATCTGAGTAAGAAGCAAAGGAGGATTAAATCAGAAAGAGGGCAATGCTTGCAGGCTGACGGCTCTTCACAGGCCGCCTGTTAGAAACATGTGTGTAATTATCTTCCAGGTGTGTTCTCTTCATAAGGGGACACATGTGGAAATATGTGGCAACACATGGATGTTCTAGAATGGACCCCAGGACTCTCCTTGCTAAAAAACCCTCACATGGGGCCTAAGAGACCCCTGATGACGCAGTTCTGTGTCATCACTATAAAGTCCACGCTTTACCACAAAAACCTTCTAACGCATAAAAGCACAGAGAGAAGCTGGGGAGCCCATGAGCCCACCTCTCTGATGCCACCACGTTCCCAGGTTGCTGACCACACGTCCACCCTTCTGTCCCCCACCATCTGTCTTATTTTTTGAGGCCTTCAAGGTAAGCTGCAGATCCCAGGACCTGTCACCCCCAAGTTGCAGCCCACAAGCCACTGACTAGAACCTAACCCCTGGGGCTGCCGGCTCCCAGCATGCCCCACATTAGACGCGAGGCGGGTGGCAGCTCTGGGGCTCAGCTGTCAGCTGAGGCACTCAGTCTGGCTTCAGAGCTTGCGGAGGACCTGCAGCTGGCCTGTTTACTCAAGTTGTGACCTATGGCAGCCAGGCTGACCACTCTGAGCATGAGCACCTCACCTGCAAGCAGAGTAGGCACTCCCTCCCCCGACTCGTGGAGTGAGATGGCTGGATTTGAATTTGGCAATAAGGAGTTCATGACCTGAAAGCAGGTAAACTGCTTAGTGCAGGGCCTGGCACCCAGGAGCCCTGCTAATCACAAGCTTTGGGCTCAGTGCTGAGAATGACAACTGTCACCTCACGTCGTCCCGCACCAGGAGATGGGCCCAGCATTAACTGCACCCACCACAGGCAAGTTACTCTTCCCAGAACCCTATAAACATGGGGAGCGCACAGCTTAAGGCTAAATGGGCTGCTCTGGCATCCAAGGAGGACTGAGGAGCCCTAGGGAACCAGCAGCATCAGGTGAGGCCCCAAGGGACACAGGCAGTGGCCAGACCGTGAGGGGCAGCTGAGGGTATCTTTGGTTCGCATGGGAGAGCAATGAGTGAATAAGAGTGGGCATAGGCCAACCAGGGCAGGCCTCCAGCTGGGAACTGGAAGCATCTCCAGAAGACAGGCCTGGGGAGCGGCTGAGGGGCCTGATGCACCCTGGGGAGGAGGGTTTGGGGACAGAGGGGACAGGCAGCTCAGGGTGACACCTCTCCCACTGACCAGCAGAGAAGCCAGGAAGGATGGCATGAATAAAAATGAAGTAGAGTTCACACCTGGGACAGCATCACGAGACACAGAGACGGATGAGGAGACAATGCCTCTGGGTGGCAGCAGGCAGAGGCTCTGCAGGAGATGCTAACTGTGGGGGGTGGGAGAGCAGAGGCCAAGGCCCTGCAGGCCCAGGTGGAGAATGTTCTGTGGCAGCCAATGCAGGAGACCTGGGAGCAGCTCAAAGGCATGAGCAGACAGAAGTCAAGGAGTTCCCTTGGCTGCTACCCTGAGGCACACCACAGGCTATTCACACTGCCCTGTACAACTGTGTGAGTGTGAGGGGCCAAGAGTCAGGCTTCAGATTCCCAAGGGAGGAAAACAGTAAAATTCCAGGACAGGGAATGGATGAAGCCCGCTCACCACATGCGCATGCGCACACACACCTCACCCCACACACACCCCTAAGAAATGAGGGTGAAGCCCCCCACTCCCCCCACACACACCTAAGAAATGAGGGTGAACTTCCCCCCCCCACACAAACCAAAGAAATGAGGGTGAACTTCCCCCCCACACACACAAACCAAAGAAATGAGGGTGAACTTCCTCCCACCTCCCACCACACACAAACCTAAGAAATTAGGTCTCATGTCAAAAGTCTATGATCACTGAGGTGTCTTGAGAAGGGAGATGGGTTTGAGTATCCCAGGCTTTAAGGAAAATGCATCAGGTTTTCACTTATTGTTGGAGAAGGTTAGCATTCAGATAGGTGAAGTCTGTAAGCAACAAATAAGGCTGGCCCAGGGCAGATGATCTTCTTGGCTCCCACCCTCAAGGCATCAGACCTTGACTGCTCTCAAGCCCCTCAGCAAGCCTGTCTTCTATTATCTTGCAAACTTAATGCATCTATTACACTTAACACCCACTCAGAGGTAGGGAGTGTTCCAGGTAGGTCTAAGGAAACAGGCTGCCCTGGGCCCAGGCCTAAATCTCCACAATGTTCCTCCCAGGATCGGAGAACCAAGCAGGCTGGAGACCTTTACCCGGGGTGTTCTTGTGGCCCCCGTGGAAGGGCAGAGACTAAGCCACAGAGTGCCAGTCCAGCCCTGGATGCGAAGACTCTGCTCACCTCTGCTCACAAAGCTGCAGCATAGGGTGGTAAGAAAACAGCACCTCTGCTTAAAAGGTTGAAAGTCGCTGTATTCTTTCAACTAACATCTACTCAGCATGTGCTGTACTGCAGACTTTTGAGACATCATCAAATCCACAGGAGAAAAGAAGGTTGGGAGAAAATACACGGCCTTAGTAAAGGCGCAGTCAAGGGCTGATGCCTTGAGGGTGGGAGCCAAGAAGGTCATCTGCTGCCCTGGGCCGGCCTTATTTGTTGCTTACAGACCTCACCTATCTGAATGCTAACCTTCTTCAACAATAAATGAAAACCTGATGTATTTTCCTTAAAGCCTAGGACACTCAAACCCATCTCCCTTCTCAAACGGAAAACACAGCAACTAGCACAGACGGATCCCCAACCTGGTCTGCCTTGGCCGTCCCACGTGGAGGCGGAAAGCAGCAGTAACTGGAGACCAGGGTGCAGTCCCGCCACCTGCTGCCTGTACCCTCTGAATCCCCTCGGCACCGGTTTCCCCACGTGAAGAATGCGTGGCAGCTGGGAAGATGCCAGAAGGCCAGGGGATCCCGAACTTCCCCTGCACGCAGGGTGGCTCCGGCGGGCTTATCGCTTCAGGCTGGTTTCCTCCCCCGACCACCACTTACTGCTCGATCGCTCAGACCACTCACCACTTGCCCGCGAGCGCCCCGCCCGGTCGCCCTGCCCGCGCCCACCCGCCACACTCACGCGAGTGCTCCAGCTCTCGCGCCGCCTTGGCCGCGCGCTCCAGGCCCGTCGGGTCGAAGTTGCTCCATTTGTCCTTGGGCCCCGGCCGGTCCCCCGTGCCGCGGTCTCCGCTGCCTTCGCCCCCGGGCTGTACGGGCGGCAAGGGCAGAGGTGGCCCCGTGCCTTCGCCCTTGGAACCCTTGATGCCGAAGAGCCACGACATGGTCCACAAGCGCCGCCGCCGCGGGGACTTGCAGCCGAATGGACTCGCGGGGCTCACAGCGGGCTCCACGCGCCGCGAGCCGGCGGCAAAGACTGCGCAGACGCAACAGTGGCCCTTCCTCCCTGGCAATGGATGCGTGTGAGGGCCCCTTGCCCCATGCGGCCCTCGGATTGGCTACGAGTGTCGTGACATCATGGTGTCTCCGCCGCGATGGTAGAAGCAAGCACAGAGGGCAGGCCGTCGGAGGGCGGGGCGAGTTACCAGGTGACAGGGGCCGATCAGGGACAAAATTGAGGAGCTGGGCGCGTGCGCCCCCTTGAATACGTCAGCGTGGCAATGACACTGGCCCGGTTGCTACGGGCATCCAGAGTTCCGGCTCCGGGGGCAGCAGAGATGCAGGTGCTGGAGCAGAAGGCTCTTGTCCGGTCACGAACGAGGGAGCGGCCGCGGGAGCAAGAGTCCTCCACAGGCGCTCGGTCAGCGGGAGAGGAACCGGGCGGCGGGCGATGGGTCGCGGGACCGGGGCAGAGAGCAGGTGCCGGCGCCCCTGGCTGAGCGGCCCCCTCGGATGGCAGAGAGCGGGTTGGGCGTGTCCAGCGCAGAGCGGACATGGGCCCCGAGCCCATGGGCCGGGCGGCGCGGGAAGTGCCTGGGCCTGGTGCGTCTCGGTGTTGAAATGATGGAAAGGCGGAAGCGCGGCCCTGGCTAATTTCCAGCAACCGTCAGTAGGATGATGGGCTCTCCCAAACCTCCTCTTCAGCGTCTCAGCGCAGTGGCTCTCGGGGACGTACATGCGTGGGTGTGTTCGTGTTCAGTCCTGTCCGACTCTGCGACCCCATGGACTGTGTAGCCTTCCAGGCTCCTTTGTCCATGGCATTTTCCAGGCAAGAATACTGGAGTGGGTTGTTTCCTTCTCCAGAGGGAATCTTCCTGACTCAGGGATGGAACCCCCTCGACACCTCCTGCATTGGCAGGCGGATTTTTTATCCCTGACACACGTGGGAAGTCCCAAGTGAAGGGACTGAGCTCTCCAACTCCAGAAGTAAGGGGCGGCAGAGGTCCCGAAGCACCGCAGAGGGCGCCTTCGTGGGAGGAGAGCTCCTCGGGGGCCCAAGGGTCCTGGCTCTGGTTACTGACTGGTGAGACTTCTGGGGAACTCCAAAAGCCAGGTTTCTGCGTCAGGGACCCAGGTGCAGGCCACACGGCCTGGGACAGATGGAGACAAGGATGGACACAGGGCAGCGCCCAAAGTTAGCAAAGTTTGCTTCTTGGGCCAGTGTCCAAGTTGCCCCTGTGTTCTTTCCTTGATGGAATTTGTAGAGTTCCCAAAATCATATGGACTTTCTCTGTTAGTTTGAAAACAGTTTTAAGCCTCAGTAAAAATAGGGGGAAAATTTCTAAGATAATTCTGCCAGGGTTTTGTTGTTTGTTGTTTCCCCAAATGAGAAAAACCAAAGGAGTTTTCCTGCCAGATGTCGCTCATTGGTCATCATCAAGATCCTTATGAACCAGCCAGAAAATATACATCCAGTAGCACTCCTGGCAGGCTGCACTGGATAAAGAGGAAATGGGGGAGGGAATTGAAGTTCATGTCCACAGGAAACTGTTTAGTTCCATCCAAAGGCCAGCAGTTGGCAAGCTTGTGTACTTTTATGGGGCTTCCCAGGTGGTGCTAGTGGTAAAGGACCTGCCTACCAAAGCAGGAGACTTAAGAACCCAGGTTCCATTCCTGGGTCAGGAAGATCCCCTGGAGGAGGGCACGGCAATCCACTGCAGTATCCTTGCCTGGAGAATCCCATGGACAGAGGAGCCTGGCAGGTTACAGTCCAAGGGTCACAGAGTTGAACATGACTAAGCACACACGCATGCACGTGGACTTTTATTTATTTATTTATTTTTTTGCACGTGGACTCTTATATGGTAGTGTTAGTCACTCAGTCATGTCCAACTCTGCAACCCCATGAACTGTAGCCTGTCAGGCTCCTCTGCCCAAGGGATTCTCCAGGCAAGAATACTGGAGTAGGTAGCCATTCCATTCTCCAGGGGCTCTTCCTGACCCAGAGATTAAAACCAGGTTTCCTGCACTGCAAGCAGATTCTTTACCATCTGAGCCAGCAAGGAAGCCTGGTAGTTTTATATGACAAGGAATAACTGAAAATAAAGCTCTGCATTTAAAAAGTCAGTTTTCCATAAAAATTAAAAAAAAACATAAAGTCAGCTTCACAAAAAAGTCAGTTTTCCTTAACTTGGCTAAATTAAAAAACAGAAAGCGTTGGTTGCTATCTTAAGATTTAGGTGGTTACACGCCCTCTCTTTGAGGGAAGAAACTGCTTCCCTCCAGTTTCCCTCATCAGAGTAGTACTGCTGACACTTTCTGACTTCCAATGGACCGTGCAGAACATCAGTCCACTTGTGTTTGTCACTTAAAGTCTTAGGCTGGAAGTAGACACAACTTTCCTAAAGACACTAAGTTAATAAAAGGAAATTAGGATGACACTTTCCACCTGATCTGTTCATTTTTTTTAAAACTGGAAGATAATTGCTTTACAATGCTGTGTTGGTTTCTGCCATACCATGTGAATCAGCGGTAAGTATGCATATGTCCCCTCCCTCTGCGTTTATGTTTAGTTGACAAACTCAGGGCACTCAGCTGCCAAGCTGCGCTGTTTTGCTGATGGGATTCCCCCAACACCCAGTTCCCTGTGGCTTTTTTGTTCCCCCCTCTGAGGGATTCTTCCAGCTTTGAAGACCTGGAGGAGAGACTGAAGAAATTAAAGGTGCAGCTTGGCCTCCAAACTGACTTTGAGTCAGAGAGGGGGCACACTGCTGTCCCTGAGAGCCCAGACCAGCAGGAGCAGAGTGGGCCCCACACAGGCCCAGAGCAGAGGACTCTGCCCCCAAAGACTGCACAGCAGGTGTGGCTTCTGAGTCTGTGCATCTGGTCAGACCTCTGGGGAGCCTTCCTGTCAGGCCCCAGGGCTTCCCAGTGCCAGCTGCCTGGTGTCTCCCAGGGACAGAAGCCCCGTGTCCACTTAAGCTTGGCGCCCCCGGCCCTCACTCTTCTGGCTTGCTCTCCTAGCTAGGACAGTTGGGCCTGCAGGGGCTGGTCTCTCCCTTTCATCCAGCCAGGCCCGTCCGGCTCCTGGTCTCTCCCTCGGTTCCAAAAAATGTGCTGCTAGTTCAGTCTCTAGAACCCCTCTACATGCATGCCCCATGCCTGCCCCCAACCTGGCAGGCCCCAGCCCCCCTGAAAGGAAAGCTGCTCAGTCAGGCCCTCCTGGGCCTGAGACCCCAGGGCAGGGCCCCTGGCTGCTGGTCCCCACCCTAACCACCAAAGCAGTGCTGGGATCTCTGGCCCCTGCAGCCCCTCCTTCTGGCTCTGGGGTGAACAAGAGCTGAGCACCGAGCCCTCAGATGGGCTGTCTTGGGCTTAGGTCTGGAGAGGGTCCTGAGGCCAAGCCTAAGCTCTTTGCCCCCAGGCTTGTCTTCCTGCATTGTTTGCCCTTGGTGAGTGAGTGAGTGAGGTTGCTCAGTCGTGTCCGACTCTCTGTGACCCCATGGAATATATATATAGCCCACCAGGCTCCTCCATCCATGGGATTCTCCAGGCAGGAATACTGGAGTGGGGTTGCCGTGTCCTTCTCCAGGGGATCTTCCCGACCCAGGGATGGAAGCCGGGTCTCCCGCATTGTGGGCAGACGCTTTACCCTCTGAGCCATCAGGGAAGCTTGGTGAGTGGCCACCTACTCAGATGCTCTGACACTGTCCCCCCACCCCGTGGAGCCATGCCCCATCTGCCCTCCACCCCACAGCTGGACCAACAGGCTCATCCAACAGAGGTCCATAGAGCCAGGCTGTCGCCAGAAGCATGGAGGGTGGGGGGGCCTTCGGCACAGGCACACAGCTGTCTGTCCACTCTGCTGAGGCCAGGAGACATGCCATGAGCACTGGCTGGCCTGCCCCTTCCCAGAAGAAGAGCAGGGTCAGCTGCATGATCTGGACAGAACTTGGAAGCAAGTTTTCAATCCCGGTGGCACTGACAGAGCCCCAGCATCATCTGGGGGGGGGGGGCGGTGTTGGTGAGTGGCACCTGCGGGAGTGGTTCTTGGAGGAAGAGCCACCCAGCTTGGCCTTGAGTGCCCTCTCGTCCAGCAGGGGCTGGCCCTGGAACAGGGGAAGGAGGGAGATGGGAGCTGGCTGGGACCCTGGGCATACAGTGTTGGCTTTCACCCCCCTCCTCTGGGCAGCACCCCATGCGCTGTGGGGCACCAGAGTGGGGTGGCTGAGTCCTCAGCTCCTGTGGACACTGCCACCATGGGCTCAGGCAAGCTGCTGGTCGCCCCCACTGTCCCTGTGCTTGTGAACACACCTGAGGGAAACGGTGGTGGTGGGGACTTTCCTTCCTGCCAGGCTCTCGGGTCTGTGGCTAGGATAACATAATTTGTCATGGGTGAGTTCCTTGACACTTCTGAAATGTGAGTGATGAGTACCAGGGATTTTAATTCCTGGTCAGTGAGCAGAGGTCACATCTACCCTACCTGGTCCTGCCCAGGAAACCTCAGCCCCTCTCCCTCCTTGAGAAGGGGGCTGTCCCAAGAGCCCCCTGCCTGCTGTCAAAAGCACACCTCACCCTAACTGGTGAGCTGCTGAGGCTGCGTCGGCCTCCCCGCCAAGGGCTGGAACTTGTGGGGTGGGGTCTCCCAGAGGGTCCTCACCTTACCACATTTACCTCTAGGGAGAGCTATGACTTCCACTGACATTTTTGTTTTAATGAGCGTTGAAAAAAAAATTTTCATCCCAGGAAAAAAGCACAGACACACAGCTGTCGCCCTGTAGCTTCCTGAACTGCCCCCTCACCCCAGCAGGAGGCTATGAGGACTCACACGTCTCTCAGGGCGGCTGGGCTTCCGGCCCTGGCCCGACAGAGTTTATTACCGCTGCCGTGGAAACAGCTCCTGCTCCAGGGAGACACCGCCAGCCGTACCACCCACTCCTGGACGTCCACCTCCCGGAGACCTAGATCCAAACCCAGTGGCCATCCAGCCTCCTCACAGATGGCCTTTGTCCATTACCTGGCTCTCACAAACCCCTGCCGTCAGGCAAGTCCTGGGCTGCAGCGAAGACCCCACACAGGAAATCCTTGTCAAGTTAGGGAGCAGCAATCACCCGTGAGTGAGAACCGTGCCCACCCAGTACACTAGAGGAGCCTCTGTTTGAGGGTCCCCTGGAAGCAGAAGCTCCTCCCCTGCCCAGCCCACTCCTGCTGCACGGACCTGTGGGCCTGTGGGTCACGACCTCATGCCCAGCCCTGACTTTCAGGTGCGTGGGCATGCTCAGGGTTGCCTTAGGAAGTGGCATGTGAGTCCCTAAAGGCCTCAGCCTGGGCCCTGACCCAGAGTGGTCAGGGGAGGTGGAGGGAAGGGGTGGGGTCAGGACAAAGCTGTTTCCTGGAGACTTTCCAGATGCGGCCTGGACTCTAAGACCTTTGAGAACTGACTGGGATGATGCAAGGGCTGCACTTCCAAGACAAGGGCTTCCAGGAGAGGCATTCCTAGGCCTGGAGATGACCTGGGGCTCCTCTCTCTGGGCCTCAGTGTCCAGCAGAAATGAGGCAAGGCAGGGAGTGGGAGTGCATCTTCCAGCTGTTCTGCCCTCTCTCAGGGATGGAAGCATGTTTTGGGAGAAGGGGCTCACCACTCGTCTTTAACGTGTGTCTGAACCATTGGGAAACTGCCCATCAGCACTCCTGCTTTTTCTCCTGCCGCCTGTGCAGTGCGCTGCAAGCTGGGCTTGTGGGTGCAGCATGGAAGGAGGCCCTCTCTGGGTGTCTAGTGGGCTGGCACCTGCAGAGCACCCAGGGATCAGGGTGGGGAACTCAGACCTCCACAGGGGAAATTCTGCCCCTCAGGGGGGGATCAGGCCCAGGTTCAGGCCCTGGTCAGTGCTGTCTGGGACCTTGGGACCCTGATGTTCAGGCTCACCAGCCATGGGACCAGGCCAGCTGCTAAGATCACAGGAGCCTCTGATCCTCAGCTGACCACTGAGCACCAGTCAGGATGTAAGCAGAAACCTTCAGTGGCACAGGCCACTGTGGGTGTCAGGCTTCCCTGGGCCTGCCTCAAGGGGATGGGGGGACATGGAGGAGAAACAACATCTATCCAGTAGGCCCCTCAAACCTGGCCTGGACAGTCACTACCATCTGCCTTGGGGTTAATTCACCACCTGAGCCCTACTCACCACCTGAGCCCTGCTCCCCACCCTGCTCACACAGGCAGTGTGTATGTGTGGTGGTGGTGGTGGTGGGGGTGGCATAGGAATGCCAAGCACACTGAACTGGTGGGTGGTGCGGGCCTTGGGTGCCTGGGTGGGGGCCATGGGATGCTCAGAGGTAGGTGTTTGGGAAAATGGTGGCAGATCAGTTTGCTAGAAGTCACCCCTGCCCCCAATACACTCACCAGGCCAGGCGGACTGAGTTGCCATCTGGGGCCCCAAGACCATTTCTCAGCCCTGCAGTTGTTTGGGTTAGGGGTTCTCCTTCCCATTAGCAGGGGGCAGCATAGCCAAACTGCAGCTGAGGGAGTAGCCGTGCCAACAGAGGTGGGAATCCCAGCAATGCCCTCAGAAATCAGGGCCTGAGCTCTCTGAAGAGGAGATGCACAGAGGGGCCACAGTGGCCTGCGGCCCAGTGCTGCAAAGGGATGACTCCCCCTCCTCCCCACACCAGGTGGGGTACCATCCTCTCCTACCAGAGCCCTTTCTTTTTCTTGAAACCTTTCACGGGGCTGGCGTGTTTTAAGGAGTAAAGCACTCTCAGGAGACTGCAGGGCTGAGTTTACATCTGATTTATTGCATTTTATTTCAAAGGCTGGATCATTAGTGGGGAAGATGAAAAGTGAGCACTGAGTCAGCGCAGGTGTGGAGGAGGTGCCTGTGGGGCCGAGTGGCAGCAGCACTGCCCCGCCTTGGGACTTGTCTGGTGGCCCCAGCACAGAAGGAGTGACAGGAGGTGGACACTGCAGGGATGGGTGGGGTGCAGCACCCAGAGGCACCTTGCTTGTCCCTGCCCCAACACAGAGGTCCTCCTCCCAGCACAGGGAAAGCCCCCTGCAAGTGCCAGCCTTGGGGCCCTGCAGGAACAGGCTCTCCTGTATCCAGGGTCCTGAATGCCAGGCTCTTGTCGCATTCTTCCCAAAAGGTGCCACCTGGGTTCCAGAGGCTGTGGCTGGGCCCAGGAGGGTTCTGGGTAGGAAGGCAGGGCCACTGTTCCCAGCAAGCAAAGCACTGCCCCCAAGCCAGCTGAGCATGCCAGTGAAGACTGCCTCTCCAGCCACCCAGCTGCTAACCACAGATCAACTGCCAGCACTTCCCTGCCCCCTTTCCTGACACTATCCCCTCCAGGGAACCTTTGGGACCTGGCCAGAGCCAGCTCCTTCCCTTCCCACCCTGGACCCGAGTGGCTGGTGGGAACTCAGAACTGCCATCTGGACCAAGCTCCCTCAAACAGATGCCAGCCTTTGCCACCAGACGGGCTGGCCTCTAACACAAGTGGGAGGCCCGGCTGCCCAGACGCCCTGTGGCCCTGGGTCCAGAGCCATCTGGAGTCTGATGTTCTCAACGGGCCCCCTGACGCCTTGTCCATCTCCCCGCTAAATCCTGCCCAAAGGACACCACCGAGTGCCCAGGTCTGGACCGGGCAGGGGAGGGAGTCGCAACGGCACGCGCTGCTGCCATAGGTACAGCGGAAGGTGAGGCGAGGCTGCGTCCTGGAGGGCGGGCGCCGGAGCGGGGTCCCCTTCCTGCGCGGGGGTCCCGCGGGCCTAAGGCCGGTCAGTATCCCATCCCGGGGGCAAGACCCACTGGGCTCGGAGAAGAGGGCCCTCGGGTGCGCGGGCGCGGCCGGCTCACGGTTCCCGGCCCCCAGTCCTCTGCGGCTGGGGACGCGGGGCGCGGCTGCGCTCGCCTTCAGGCGTGCAGGCCTTGGCTGACAGCGCCCTCTCGCGGCCCGAACGGAAGGCTGCGGTCACGGTCACCAGGTAGGCGGTGCCGGGCGCCAGGCCCTGAAGCGTGGTGCTGTTCTCGCCCGCGGGTACCTCCACGCTCTGCGCGGCCCCGCCCCGCAGAGGCCCGACCAGCACGTGGTAACCGAGCGCGGCGTCCGGGCCCAGCGCCGGGGCCCAGCTCACGCGCAAGCTGCGCGGCCTGGCGTGCGAGACGACGATGAGCTCCGGCCCGGTCTCCTCTGCGCGGGCGTGGGGGTGGGAGTGCGAGAAGTGCCCGTGAGCGGGAGGGGGCCGCGGCGCCCAGCCGGACCCGTACCCCTAGCCCGCCCGGCCCTGTGCCCCGCCTCACCTGGCAGCGTGCGCACCCGCAGGTGCTGTGATCTTAAGAGCCGCACGTTGGACTCCGGCACCAGGGCTACGTCGTAGTCCGTGTCTGGGTCCAGACCGGTCCAGGCCCAGCCCGTGGCGTTCCCTGGCAGCTGCTGACGGCGCGCGACCCCCGGATCCGTGCTGGGCGCCAGCTCCAACACATAATAGCCTGAGTCTGCCGTCAGTAGGGACGGCCAGGCCAGGCGGAAGCCGCTGGACGTAACCTCGGAGGCATGGAGCTGCTGCGGCCACATTGCATCTGACGGGGGGTGCAGAGGGTCAGAGGACAGAGGTGGCTTTTCCCGCTGGTCTCTGACTGCCGACTCGGGGTATGCTCACAGAGCCTGGGGAGCAGGAGCGCCGGGAGCAAGGCTAGCCTCGGCCACGCCTACCAGATGCTAAGGATCCGCCAAAGCGCTCTGGCGCCAGGCTGGAGGAAGGACGTGAGTGCGACCAGTCGGCCCTCCCCCTCTCCGCTCCCCCCTCCGCCTTCGGCCGCTTCAGGAGCTTCCCTCCCCACCTCAGCTCCAAACTTAGAGCAGTGGAGAGTTATAGCGGCCACCTCTCACCCACCACTCAGTCCAGTGGACTGGACAAAGGGCCCTCAAGGGTGGCAGGGTTCAAAATGATGTCAGCGGATGCCCTCCCCACCACTCTGGGCAGCAGGAGTGACCAGCACAGGGTCTAGAATCAGTTCTGCTCTGGAGAGTCAAGAAAAAGAGGGCCCACAGTACAGCCAGGAGATGAGAGGCCACTGGAGAATGCCCTGAGGGGTAGGAGAGATGTGACAAGCCCAAGGGCAGCTGGACCCGGAGGAGAGTGTGGTGGGGGACTCGAGGATAGGACCCCCAAACGTTACTCCTGAGCTATGATGCCAAGCCCCAGAGGGTCATCTCAGTGACCTGGCAGGTGGGTGGGGCTAACAGATGTCTACACAGGGTTAAGTCAGGACCTGATGCTGTGAACGCTGGGTGCCCAGCTGCCTGGCTGGCACTTCCCTTGCCCATCGCCACACGCAGACCCTGCCCCCAATCCCAGGAGAGCCACCCTACTGCCTCACTGCCCTGCAGCCTTGGGCTTTTCCTGTCCAGCTGCTTGCCCTTTCTCCTGCTGTCCCCTTAAGGTTCAACCCTAGCGGCAGACCCAAGGGCCACCAGGGCCAGGTGCCCTGGAGCAGATCTTCAGAAAGACCCTCTATCTCGCTCCAACCCACAGTCCAGCTCCTTCCACTTTCAGGTGGATGATTAACTGCAGGCCAAAATTCAGGAAGACCCTGGAGTTGTTAGCATTTTTTCAGTGGCTACAGCAACCCTGCCAGTGACCAGGCCCTTTAACTCCACCTCCCTCCCCTCCCTGTCCCTCTCCCTAGCTGGGTCAGAGGGATCCAGAAGAAAGTCCGTGGGGAGCTGCTAGCCCCTGCAGCAGGCTCTCCCAGGCCCAGCCTCCTTTCCAGCAATCCCCAGCAGTACAGTCCCACTCAAACCCCCTTCCCCTGGGGGAAGTAGTGACCCAGCTCTGGTGGGGGGGGGGGCACTCTCTGCCCTTCCTGCCCTGGCCCTCCCCCTTCCTCCAGGCATGATGGGCCCATAGGCAGAGCTCTCAGGCTTGAAACCTCCTTCTCTACCTCTTCACATAGCCACAAGCCACATCTGCTCAGATCCAGCCCCTGGGTCCCTCAGCCCTCACCAAACCCCCCACTCTCCAGTAGGAAGCCTCACCTGGAGGTGTTTCCTCAGACCTGTCCTCTGTCCCACCTCAGCCCAGGTGGTGGGACCCCTGTGGTGACCAGTGGAGTGTGTCCCTGGAGAAGCCGGGTGTGCAGCCCTGGCCTCTGCTCCAGGCATGAGAGTTCCTCCTGGAGTCTTCCCAGCCCTCTTCCCGAGTTCCCAGCTGGGGTTCCCCAGGCCCCCTCCCACCTACCAAGGATGGAGCCCCTCAGTGCCTGGGTGATGATGTGCAGGTCATCCACATCCACGAAGTGCAGGTGTTTCTCAGCAGGGGCCGAGGCGGCAGCAGACAGCTCCAGGAGGTTGCCGCGGCCAGTGCTAACGATGAAGACGGTGACCCCCAGGTCCTTCAGCTCCTGCATGGGGGGCCCCACGGGGTCGCTGGAGCCGCCGTCTGTCACCCACACCAGCACCTTGGGCACCCCCGGCCGGGCCCCTGCCGCCTTGGCAAACAGTTGCTCCTTGGCATATGCCAGTGCTAGGCCAGTGTTGGTGTCACCCATGCGCTGGGCTGCAGCCCGTATGGCGTCCTGGACAGCTGAGCCTGAGCTGTGCTGGCCGAAGAGGAACTCGGTGTGCGGTCGGCTGCCCACGTGCACCAGGCTGGCACGCAGGGCCCCAGGACCCACGGGAAGCAGGGCTGCCAGTCGCCCCAAAAACTCCCGAACTCGGGAAAACTCATAATGAGACACGCTGGCTGAACTGTCCAACAGAAACAGCAGGTCTCCCTGAAGGGCAGATGCCGGAAGGCCTGGGGAAGAGGGGAGGGTTCAGTCCCTGGTGGTGGCCCCCAGACAGCCCCACACCCAGGGCAGAACCCCCAGGGCCTGAAATTTCCCTAAGCTGGCACTCGCCCTTACCCAAGGAAGCCCAGAAGGCCAGCTCAGCTACAGCTCAAAGGTTCTGGGATGGCACCCCAGAGGGAGAGGGGCCCTAAAGCCAACAGGAGGTCCGAACCCTCAGCAATTCCAGTTCTACACCCTGGCCACATACCAGGGGGTCCCTTTGGGCTTGTGTCTCTTCTGCAAAGGAAAGCTGAACCCTTCAAGCCCCCACCCGCTCCCTGTCTTCAGCGGAATCTAGGCGGGCTGGAACTCAGTGTCCTGGCCCCGCCCCCAGGAGTGGTGGGTGGATAGGTCTGGGCCACCAGGGCCTGGCTTCCTAGAAGCAGTCTACACAGCTCACCCTCCAGGTAAGGCAACCGGTGCGGGTTGGGGTGGAGGCATTTGGCAGCTGAGGAGACTGAGGACAGAGGAGGAGGCACGGGGAAGACAGAGCACTGACTGCAGCCTCTCCCACAGTCTAGAAGGCTGGGTTGGAGTCCTGACCCCACTTACAGATGATGTCATCCCTGCCTGGGCCCCATCCTCTGCTCTGTTCGGACCCAGGAAGCAGGTTACCTGCTGCAGCAGCCTGAGGGCCCGATCACCCCTCAGGCGACTACGCCTTGCTCTCCGCACCCCAGGGAGCAGATGGGCCCCTGGGTCACGAGTAAACAGCGGCCTGGGGTGTCTCGGGCCGGGTCTAGCCTTGGGGCCTCAGTTTCCCTCAACCTAGTTGAACGACGCCAACCAACCCTCTTACCATCCCTCGTCTAAGGGTCATTCCAAGCAGAGGGAGAACTGAGGCAGGAACAAGCCTCCCAGATTGGCACCGCCCACTCCCCCGATCAGGCCCTAAAATCCCGCCGAGTTGCCGGCGGGGCCTGCGCCCCATGTCGGTAGGGTCCCCTGCCAGCCGCCCCCGCCCCGCATCAGCGGAAGGAGAGCGTGGCTCAGCGCGGACATCAGAGGGTGGACGGGCACAGAGAGCCGAGCTTGACCCAGCCGCCCGCCTCACTCACCACGTTCCGCGCCGCTCCGAGCCAGCCGCAGGCTCAGGGCCAGGCCGATCACCGTCCAGGGCAGCATCGCGCGCGACGGGACGGCAGCGCTCTCCCTGCACTGGTGTTTAGCTCGCTCCTGGGTTGTGGGGCGCGCGGCCGCGCGGGTCGGACCCGGGCCCCGCCCCCCGGAGGCCCCGCCCCTCGCGGCCCGCCCAGAGGTCCCTCCGAGGCGCTCGCGAGCTGCCCCGCGTGCAGAGGAGCACTGGCTCTGGGAAGGCGCACGTTCGCAGGGCCCAGCCGCGCGGCGACACGCTCCATTCATACGCGCGTGGCATGCACACACATAAACTCTTCGGTCTCCCTTTAGGCTGTAAGGCCTTGGAGTCTGCCCTGCTTCTACCCCCTGCCCGCTTCCCCAGCCAGGAGCAGAGCAGGGAGCCACCAAGCTGGATCATCCCGAGGCTTGCTGTCCTTATATCCTCAGCGTTGGGAGTCCCTGAAGCCAAGTCCAAGAGAGCCCCAGGATGTGTGAGAGTGTGGGGGTGACACCAAAAACAAGGCTTGGGAAGGGGCAGGTGTATGAAAGCAAAGATCAGGAGAGCAGAACTTAGAACGCTGGGAGAGGGGATAAAACCTCAGACATTCAAGGAGGGGTTTCTGAGGGGACACAGAGACCCCACCTCACTAGGCTTCTTGGAGGAAGAGGCATACAGCTGAGGATGGCTGAGTCAGGCCTGTCCTATGTGACCATGCTGGGCCTATAGCTGTCCCCAGTAAGAGGCCCAGGGCCAGGGCTGAGGCCAAACTCCAGGACTGAGGATAGACCCTCCCCATCCGTGCACTGGGGAAGCCCTCCAGGGACTCACTGTGACCAGGAACCTTGCATCTCGGATCTTGGCTGGACCAGAGCAGAGGTGGCCGCCTGAGGGACACTCATCCCTCCCCCCCCCAACCCACTCCAGGGCAAATTCCTTGCCCTCAGGTGAGGCGAGGAGGCAGAGTCCTGTGGGCAGGACTGCCCTCCTCCCTCCTAAGATGCCTTCCTGTGGGGTCACCACTGCCCTGTCCCAGCCACTCCCCTCTGAGGAGCTTGGTGGGGGGTGGCGGGGCACAGGTCCGCATGGGGAGGCTGCAGCCCATCTCTACCAGGATGTCCCCTCCCTTCCCCCCTGCCAGGAGGTGCTCAGCCCAGAGGACGGATGAAACTCAATGGTTTTCCTTCCTCCCTTTCTGTCAGGTGAGACGCCAGGCTGTGAGACAGGCTGGAGCTCTGACTTTGTCTAAAAAAGGAAGCAGCTCAGCTGAGCCTGAGTAGTTGGGGCAGGAACAAGCGAGAACTGTGTCCCTGCCACACCCCCCCCCCCCTTGCCGGGAATCTTGGCAGTGACGGGGCTGGCTCAGCTCCACAGACCTCAGGCCTCAGCTAGGACCAGAGACTGCCTGGTGTTTCCGCCTGGGCCCCGGGGGGCAACGGTGGGCTTGAACCCCCAAAGTTCAGGATGTACCGCCCAGAGGGATGGCTCCTGGCCGGCCCACAGCCCCTCCAGCAGATGACGCTGAGCAGGGCTGCTCTGGATATGGGGCCATGAGGGGAGGCAGCTGAAGACAATCTGGGGGCCCAGGGGGGACTGACCCAGGTACACGCATGCAGACACAACTTGGCTCATCCTTCACCTTGCTGGACACCCACTAGCAGGGCACTGGGCCATGCTGGGTCTGCCTTGTGGCCTCCCGACTCCTGGCCAGCGGTGGGCCGAGTCACACCTCGGCTGTGCTGCTGGGCTGACAGGGAAGTTTCCCTTCTGGAAAAACTGAGCTGCTCTTCTTGGCCACTACTCAAGCCCTTGAGGAAGCAGGCATCCTCCTCCTTCCAGCTCTCTATCAGGGGGAGAAAGGACAGGGGACCTGGCCTCGGCAGTGGTGGCAAGGGCCTCTCTCCAGCCTTGGCTGAGCTCAGCCACCTGCTTTGGCTGAGAGTCCCTCCTGATGCTCATGCTGAGCTCTGACTTGATTCCTGAGAGACCAAGACCATCTCACCCTCACTGGATCAGCTCTGCCCCTCAGGCCCCCTGATCTGCCCTGTGGCTCAGTCGGCTCCACCACCCCTGCTGCCAGCATCACAGCGAGTCTCCTTTACACTGCCCCTCACTGAGCGGAGACCTGGGCAGACAAAGGTTTCTAGGGAACGTGGGGGTCAGCCAAAGGTGTGTAGTAGTCCAGGCCAGGGCTGGGCCTGAGGCAGACACCAGAGGAAGCACAAATATAATGGCCTGGAAACCTCCTCTCTGAAGGAAGACAGGCCTGGGGGCAGGAGGGGCAGAGAAGGACCGGAGGGGGCCAGGAAACAGCTGGCCCCAGTCCCATGCCTCTCCCTCCACTGGAGCCAGCCCCTGCCTGAAACAGGTGTCCTGGAAAAGAGGAGGAGGGACAGGGAGTCCCCAGTCACTTCCCAGAACTCGCCCACCCTGCCTGTCAGTCCACAGGCAGATGGATGGGGATCCACAAAACCCAGGGACAACAATGCTCTCCAAGGCACTGCCCCTGCCCCCAGCTAGTCCACGGGAATGCGCCCTCCTCCGCACCATCCACGCCTACGCAGAGAAGAAGGGCCTTTTGTCCCCAGCTAGCTGTGGTCATGTTGACCCCAGGGAAAAGGGCAGCTCCCGGGGCCTCTGACCCCACCCCTGACCCCAGCCTAGAGCCCGAGGGGCAGAGTGGTCTGGCCCCACCCCATCCCGTGGGGGTGCCTGTGCTGCTGGTTTTCATGTCAGTTGTATCACACAGACGCACCCACACAGGCTGGGAGACACAGAAACTGGAAGTAAGGGGCAGCTCCTATGGGCCTGGGGTGGGTGGCCAAGCGCAAGGCCCCCTGACTGCACCCAGCAGTCGGAAGAGCAGAGGGAGGGGGTGGCTTACCACCACTTGCCCCGCTGCTCCACCCACACATTCTTTTAGACTCAACTTGCCTGTTTGTGGTCAGGGACATGCCAGGGCCTGAGGGCCAGTCCTGGGGGTCTGATTGTCCCATTGTTTCACTTCCTAAGTGCCCCAGCCTGTCCCTTGTGGCCCTAGAGACAACCCCTACCCAATCTTTCAGCCAGAGATACCCAGGGTGGCAGGTGGGCAGCCTGGTCACAGAGTGGGTGCCAATCCATCTGCATTTATCCTTCATCTCTGTGCTGGGCCCAGTCACATGACAAATTCTGCCCTGGGGATGCACAGGCCCTGGGGACATGCAGGCTCTGGGCACAGCCCATGTCCTCCCAGCCCTGCCAAGCTAGAAGAGAGATGGGAAGTGGCAAGCTTGCAAAAATGCGTGTCTACTCATTTTCCTCTTGGAGGATGGGGTCATGTCAGAGCAGGTGGGCAGGAGCTAGAGGAAGTACCAGGGCTCCGGAATGAGGGCCTGCCAGTATGTATGAGGGCAGTAAGGAGGCCTGGGAGGCAGAAGGGCAGTGGCAGTGTTCACTGGGGAGCCGAGGGCCCAGGGGGAGGGTGATATCAGGCCTTGAAGACTACAGGCAGAAGGGCAGAGCTTGGAGGCAGAAAGGCAGGAGGGCATCCAGTTGTTCCTGGATTTTCAGCCTGTGTAAGGACTGCACAGTGGTGCTCTTCAAGAGGTGAGACCCCTTCCCTAGTTTGGGTTCCCTGGGCTGGACCCTTCTGCAACAGGGAGTGACCACCATGCCCTATCTCAGCCCCAAGCAGGGTCCTGGCAGGCTTGTGTGGGGAAGGAGAGAGCAGGAAAGGAAGGACAGATTTGTGTCCACACCTTGGTGGGGGGGTTCCCCAGGGGTGGGGGTGAGGCCCTGGGGCAGGGGGAGGGACCTCAGGCCCCAGAGCCAGCAGGGAGCTCTGCCTAGTCCTCCCCAGCCCACCCACCACAGCTCAGTTTCTGGCTGACATGCCTGCATGGGGGCAGGGCTCACAACTGGGGTGCCGACTACAGGGACAGAATGGGCCCCTCCTAGCTGCTCACCACTCAGGGTGTGCCTGCAGACACCTGAGTTGCCAGGAAATGCTTTGTGAATGAATACACGGCCCTGGCAGATCAGGAAACCTCGCAAAGCCCAGACTCTACACCTGTGGGGTCTGGAGAAAACCCCTGCCAGGGGTGTGAGGGCCGGCAGACAGAATGCAGGCATGCCCTCACATGCACACATACATATACCCATACAAAATGCACACACACACGCACCCACGGCCAGGTGCACAATGGCTGGGCAAGGGCCAGGGTGCTTGCAGAGACTTTTTTTCCCAAAGTGAGGGTCTTATCTTGGCCCACCCAGGAGCTCATGGCCTCTGCCTTCTACTTTCCCCACCCTGACAGCTAACGCCCTAAAGCAAACCACTAGGCTCCTCCGTCAACCTTCCACAGCCCCCCACAAGTGTTCCTTTTGTGAGTGGGTGGTAGCTGGAGCTGAGGCAGGCTGTCCCTGGGGCCAGCTGGAGGCCATGTGGGGCTTGGGTAGGCCTGGGAAGCCAGGATCCACCTTCTGAAAGGCAGCTCAGCAGCTGAGCTCCCCCGGGTGGCCTCCCCACCCCCACCAAGCCCAGCTGTTGTTTTGATGACTCCAGGGCCAGACAGATTCTCAGGAGAGCCCTTATCCTCAATGCTTGGCCAGAGCAGCCCGACCCTAGGCAGGAGGGGAAGGAGGGCGGCCTAAGACCGGGAAAGCTCTCCTTGGGCATGGGGCAGCCAGCCAGGCTCCCATGTGACTGGTCACAGACAATTGGAAAACCCCGAGGACTCCTGCTGGACCTGAGCCAGCCCCACTCCAGGCCCTGTTCAAGCCACAGCTGAGCCTGAACCTTGGATACATCTGGACCCTGGTCTCCTGGTCACAGGTGGAGTCCTGCTGGCAACACAGTGTGCTAGGACCTTCCCAAGGTCTTCCAACTATTACTAGATTCTGGACAAATTACAACAAACACATCTTTAATACACTGCTGGGCTTACAAGGAAGTAGACCTCTCCAGGCCCCGTCCCCTCCAAGAAACACTAAAAAGAAGTATATAAATAAACAAACAGAAGAATAGTGAACAGAAACCAGGATGCTGAAGTGAAACAAACAGGAAAGCAGAGAATTCCCTGAACACAGGAGGGAGACCCACACCGCATGAGGGCCACAGCCCACGTGCAAGGTAGGCTACCAACCAGGTCCCTAATAGGGACACAGGCTGGGCACTCCTCACAGAGGCATCCTCTCTGGAGGGACATGGCCGCAGAATTTTCACAGGTGTGGGCTGACGCTTACCAAGTACAAACATTCAAAGAAACAACATGCAATTACTGAGTCAGCAGAAACAACAAATAACAGATTTAGACCTCAAAGCAAAGGAAGTGTAGTTGCTAAGTGCAGACTATAAAATAACTTTGTGTGAAATATTCCTGCTGGAATCCAAAACACAACCACGCACCAAGAGACCAAATGATCATCAAAATGATCATATGTGAATAAGAAGTGAGCAGTATAACTTTTGAGCTTCCCAGGTGGCGCTAGTGGTAAACAACCTACCTGCCAATGCAGGAGACCTGAGACAAGGGTTCAGTCCCTGGGTTGGGAAGATTCCCCTGGAGGGGGCCATGGCAACCCACTACAGAATTCATGCCTGGAGAATCCAATGGACAGAGGAGCCTGGCAGGCTAGTGTTCCTAGGGTCGAAAAGAATTGGACGCGATTTAGCACACACGCAGTATAACTTGTAGATGTGTGCTTAGTCACTCGGCTGTGTCCGACTCTTCCGGACCCCATAGACTGTAGCCCGCCAGGCTCCTTTTGGATAGGAGGACAATCAGATTAGACAAAACCAGTGCTTAGTGAACTAGAAGAGGAAGATGAGGAAATTGCCCAAAACACGTGCAGCGCAGGGAGACAGGAGAAGGAAGACACAGAAGAGAGATGAACTGACAGGAGAAGTAATAGGACGACAGGAAGTATTAATGTAATAGGTGCTTCCCAATAAAGAATATGTGGAATGAATGAGGCAGAATTGAAGAAATAATGGTTGAGAATTCTCCATTACTGATGAAAGATGTGAACCCCTAGGAATGGGAAACAAACACAGTGTGTACCAAAAGAATAAACCAGAAACATGCTTGAAAGCAAAAAAACACAAAAGACGGAAAAGATCTTAAAATCAGAGGAACTGACAGAGCCCTTGCTCTAAAGCTGACGCAGGCCTCCGGCTGAGCCCTGTACACCCTTCTGCTCTGGCCCTTGAACCTCTGGGATCGTGGAGTGTGGAAGTCTCCGGAGCGAGTCTCCCCAGCTCTACAATTCGCTGACCAGACGGCGGGCCGCAGGGTCTGCCCGTTGTCGGGGCACAGGAGCCTTAGGCAGTCCCAGAGGCAGAAGCCAGGAAGGCCACTTTTCTGAGTCTGGCCTCGCGCCCCTTCTCTGAGGGCCATTTCTCTGCTCCCTAGGGGGCGTCCCAGCCCCTCGGCTGCTGCGAGGAGTGCGGGGGCGGGCGAGGGTGGGGAAGGGCCGCCCAGTTCCGGGGGAATCCGGTGCCACCTTGCGGCACGTCGGAGCACTGCGCACGCGCTTGCCGGGAAAGGACTTGAACGCAGATCCTTGAGCTCGCCACCTGGGGCCACTGATGGGGGACACGGGGTAGTTCGGGGGCCTCCGGGATTTGAGGGGGCGTGTGGGGTCACACCCAGGCGCAGAGCTGCTTCTCCCCGTCGGGCTGGCGGCGGGGTCCGGGGCTCCAAGTGGGGGGCGGCAGCAGCGAGTGGAGGCGTCGGGCCAGGCGGGCGCGAGCGGCCGAAGCGAGCACCAGCAGCGGAGGCAGCGAGAGGAAGCCCAACACGATGAGAGCCGCGGAGCCGCTGTCGGACAGCAGCACGCGGCACGCGGGGCGGGGCGCCGGGTGGACCTGAGAACCGGGAGGATGGTCAGGCGGGGCGTTGGGGGGGGTCTTAGTTCCGGGGCGGGGCCCGAGGTCGGGCAGAGCCCAAAGGGAAGTGGGTGGAGTGCGGGGGCTGGGGCTGGCTGTGGGCCAGACATTTCCTAGCCGAGGATGGGAGATGGGGGACCCAGGCGGTAAATGACCCGAGTAGGAGTCCCCTGAGGGGAGGCTCAGAGAATAGCTGTCTGGCGCCCCGACCTCCGCCTTCCTCCCTTCTGTGCTCTCCGCGGTCCTTGCCTTCGCTGGCATCTGACCCCGAAGCCCTGCCTCTGGGTGCCACCAGCTGGTGTCAGCCTTCTCTTCTGCAGCCAACGTTTGGTCCCCCTCCCCTGCTGTATGCCTACAGGAAGAGGAACATGGGGCCCACCTGCCTATACCCTCCCCATCCCAGACCTAGCCGTAGCCCATTCCAAAGGTGGGGAAACCCATCCCCGGGTAGGAGGGGTCCTCAGAGGGGCTGTGTTGGGGGGCCTGAGGGTTGGGGACTGTGGACTGGCTAAATCCGACAATATCTTTATCTCCTCTTCCTGGAAGCCTTCTCCTCTCCCCACCCTGCCCAGCTGTCCAGGCCCTGGTGGCCCCTGGTACAAGGCTGGGAGGCCTCAAAGGGAGACAGCCATCCCCTTGATGGCAAACAAAAGCCTTTTTTTTGCTGTGGCTGGTGGCAGGGCGGGGGGCTTGGCAGAAGAAAGGGCCCTTCAGGGAGGAGCATCCACACTCCCCACGGACCCCAGACAGTTCCCCAGTCTTGCCCAGGGAAGGCTCAGCTCACCCTCGAGTGACACAGGAATCCCAGGTACACGACGGCAGCTGCAGGCAGCAGCACCAGCAGGAACACAGCTGCAGGCAGCAGCAGGTGGAGCAGGAGCCGGGCCAGGGCCCATCCTGGGAGCAGCAGAGTCCCCAGGCCTTGGGCAGCCAGGCTTGCCCACCCTGGGGACATCAGGTCTGAAGCCTGGCAGTCAGGAAGCCTCCGGGGCAGCATGGGTGCTGTGTCTGAAGGGTCTCCTCCCTCATCCTCCTCTGTCTCCCTCTCCTGATCATTCATGCCCTCAGCAGTGGGCCTGGTGGGCTCACAGCAGCAGTCACGTGGCAGGACTGAAGCCCCTCACCCCCGTCAGATTAGCAACCTTTTAACCCTAGGTCACCAGGTCAGGTTTCTGCTCAGACTCCAGCAACCGAAGAATGAACCCAGCTGGAGGGCAGGACCCTGGCCCAGGTACGTCCAGCCCCGACCATCTGTCTCCAGGGCCACACGTGAGCGGCAGGTCCCTGTTGCCAGGCTGACCCTCTCTCTCTGCCAGGTTCCTACAGCTCTGGCCCTGGCTGGTCTCTCTGCTGGCCCCTGCGTGCTCTGGTCAGAGCCTTCACAGCTGTCCTGACAACTCTGCACTGGGCCCTCCTCCCTCTGGGTCCCGCCCTCTCCCAGCTGCCAGCCCCTGCACACAATGACTTCATTTCATAAGTCTCAACCGGCAATTAATTGCCCCATCAGTAGCTGCCACAGAGAGGTCAACACCTGACCCACCTCTCAGCACTAGTCCCCCTGTTCCCTTCATCCCCCACACCTGGTCCCTCTCAGCATCAGAGAAACAGCACCAAAAGATGCAGGCCTGTTGAGAAGGCACATGAGCAGTGCATGTGAAATGCTTAGTGTGGGACTCAACACACAGTAGGCGCTCAGTAACAGCAGTTGCCACCACAGGCATCCTTTGTGTCAGAATCCAGTCCATCCTGAAAACAGGGGGAGCATGTACTCCATTATTTCAAGTAAGGGGGGAAAAGCATTCCTAGCCCTTCCAAAAACCCTAACTTCTCCAAATGTTACCAAATATAGTTAGCACCTAACAGTCTCCTGGGGGTTTTGTGCACAACCTACAGCATTTTAAAGGGCACTTAGGTGAGTAGTTGACACTTAAACAGTGAGTAGGTTGTCTGGGAGCTGGACAAAGGAGGCTGGGTGATAACACATGGGAAAGTTTCTCTTTCCCTTCCCACACAATCTGCCTCATCCCTTCCATTCCTAACATTTTCCAGGTCTCTCAAGTTCACCAGCACCCTTTCACCAGGCAGGGATGCAGGCGAGAGTGACAGTGCACAATTTGTTCAAGGGACACTGGTGGTGATACCATGTGGAGCTCTTGGGCACAAAGCCTTTGTGTCCCCCATTTCTTTGATTATAGGGAACAGCCTTCACTCAGCTTCCATGACCTTCCCTGAATTCTAATGGGCAGATTCAAGCCGTTGTTCATTAGGGAAGAGAGGGAATGAGAGACCAGAGAGAAACCATCAGGAGCAGCCTTGGGGCAAGGTCCTGTTTCCCCATCAAGGGATACACACAACAATTTCTTTGAGTTATTTTGCAGATAAGGAAACCCCATCCAGGTGGGAGAAGTTAACAATTAACAATGGAATACTGCCCACAAGCATGTAGACCCCAGACCAGTTGGACCTGAAGGTTAAAAATGCTGGCTCCTACTTGCCTCAACACCAACCCATCAGAAGAACATCCACAAGCTGATCACGTCCTCTTTAAACAATTACTATAAAACTTGTCACTATTTTCCCCAAGTTGGGACACTTGGCTTTGAGAGCATTAGCCCCCTGTGACCCCCTTTGCCTGATAAAGCAATAAAGTTATCCTTTTCTACTTCAACCCAAACTCTGCCTCTGAGATTCGATTTGGAACCAAGTTCAGCTGAAAGCTGAACTTTCAACATCAGTGGAGACACTCCGGCCGGGAAATCTGCTGAGGTCCCCAGCAGTGCCTGTCAAGCCCTGCTACCCATACATGTGCAATTGAACTATTTACACTGGTGCACACGTGGAAGATCTCACAGTAACTATTTATTCTGATAGTGAAAGTGAAAGTTGCTCAGTCCCGTCCGACTCTCTGTGACCCCATGGACTATACAGTCCATGGCATCCTCCAGGGCAGGATACTGGAGTGGGTAGCCTTTTCCTTCTCCAGGGGATCTTTCTGATAGTGAAGTTGGGGTTAAAAAAAAAATGTTGCAGATGATAACCTTTGGGTGGAGAGAGTTCAGACAGCAAGGATCTCTGTCTCATCATCTTTTAAGCCCCACCCTCTCCTCTGGTCCTCCACTCATTCATTCACTCATTCAACAAACAGCTGAGTTCCGGCTGTGGGCCCAGGGTGCTTGAGACCAACAGAGGCCCCTGCCCCTGGGGGACAGCTCCGTGTAGGCGCCCTGACATCCAGTGGTCACCTGAGCAAGCTGCAGTGCCCTGGCTGTGGCAGAGGCTGTGGGGACAGGCCTCACAGCCCACTGTTGCTGCTTTCTGCTGGCAAAGAGGCCGCCAGGAGACAGTGTTTAGCTTCCCTGGCTCTGATGAGGGATAGGATAGTCCCCCAGTCCCCAAGATACGAGCGCTTCTTCTCAGCAACAGGGTGCCCTTCCCACCCCACCCTGTGCCCTTGTGTCCTGTCATCTGGCCCTGCTGCTTTCAGCATCTTCCCAGTCATCCTGTGCAGACACAGAGCGGACACCCTTGTTTTTCTGGCTTTTGCCAGCTGCTGGCACCTGGTCTACTCGGCCTGGTCTCAGCCAGCAGGGACAGGAGTGGGGCTGGGGGGCAGGGCCAGAGGGAGGGACCCAAGGAAAGGCATGTGGGTGCCTCCTGGGGGGCAAATCGTGGTACATCAAAGGCTGTGCTCTGTGAGGAGCTATAGTCCACGGGCAGGTTCCTGCTTGCCTGGCCTTTATCTCCTGGGAGGGAGGACAAGTCAGAGGCCCTGGCGGTTGGCAGGGGCTGAAGGCTGCTGGGACACAGGCTGTGGTCTGCAGGTACCGCCTCCCCCTAAGTTGCTGGGTAAACAGTGGAGAGCTGGCCCTTCGCCTGGCCCCCAGAAGCCCTCCCTTCCCTGCCCCGCCCCTCTCCCCCCACCCCCACAAATGCAGTTCCAGCTACCTACCTTCCTGGAACAGATCTCTCACCTCAGCTCCTTCGGAAGGAGTTTCATGAAAAGTTTCATGTTTCATGAAAGTGCCTATGACTGGGCCAGGACAGCATACAGAGGACCCCCAGCCAGAGGACTCGACGGGAGCCAGCCTGGGCCTCCAGCAACCATGCCTGATTCATGTTCTTTCCAGATGGACTCTGGGGTCTCAGAGCCTGGGGAGCAGGACCCGACAGAAGCAGGGGCGGAGCAGGAACTGCGATGGTTGGATCTGGGCTCTGAGGAGGCTCTGGGAGCTAGGACACAGGGGCCCAGCACCCCACAGGCCTGGGGGCACTTGCTGCAGGCTGTGTGGAAGGGTCACACAGGCCTGGTGACTCAGCTGCTGCGGCAAGGGGCCAGTGTGGAGGAGAGGTGAGCCCCGCGGTGGCTTGGTATCTTCACAGGTATCTGGTGGGGTGGTGGCTGCTGTGCCTTCAGTGGTAGGGAGAGGCAGCGGTTCCCAGCAGGTAGAGGGGGTCCTTCCTGGGCAAAGGTGGCCAGTTTGAGTTTCTTTCCCCAGCAGGGGGCAGAGGGCAGGGGCCAGGGGCAGTGGCCTGGCTCCAGATCCAGCCGCCGCCCTCACCGCCCTGGCCTGCCCCACAGGGACCGCGCTGGCCGGACTCCGCTCCACCTGGCGGTGTTGCGAGGCCACGTGTCGCTGGTGCGTCTCCTGCTGCAGCGCGGGGCCCAGGTCGGAGCCGCAGACCGCGCGGGGCGCACACCGCTGCACGAAGCCGCCTGGAACTCGCCGTCGCGGGTGGCAGAGCTGCTGCTGCGGCGCGGGGCGCCGGCGAATGCATGCTGCCTGGCCGGCCTCACGCCGCTGCACTGGGCCGCCGCTCTAGGCCGCACGCTGATGGCTGGGCACCTGCTGGCGGCGCCGGACCCGGGCCCGACAGCGGCAGACGCGCGCGGCTGGACGGCGGCGCACTGGGCGGCCGCGGGAGGCCAGCTGGCGGTGCTCGAGCTGCTGGGGGCGAACGGTGGCGCGCGTCTAGACGGCGTCCTGCTCGTGGCGGCCGCGGCTGGGCGTGCAACTGCGCTTCGTCTCCTTCTGGCGCAAGGGGCTCCAGTAGACGCCCGGGACGGTGTGGGGGCCACTGTGCTGGGCGTCGCGGCCGGCCTGGGCCGCCGGCAGGTAATCGTGGCCCAGCCTCCGAGTGATAGAAGGGTGGCGGAGAGGGAGCAGCCACCAACCCCCGCTGCCCTTGGATACTGGCTCCTGGAAGCCCAGGGAGGGAGCCCTGCGGCAGCACCAATATTTATTGGGCACCAGGGGCAAGCCTGTGTCAGCCAGCAGGGAGGATGGGCGGCAGGCAAGTCAGGACCATTAGGGGCAGTGGCAGTCTCCAAGTAGAGACTCTGCAGGTGTCACGCCTGAGTGGTAAGCTGATTCAGTTGTGTCCTACTATTTGTGACCCTATGGACCGTAGCTCTCCAGGCTCCTCTGTTAGTGGGATTCTCCAGGCAAGAATACTGGAGTGGGTTGCCATGCCCTCCTCCAGGGGATCTTCCTGACCCAGGGATCGAACCCTCATCTCTTCTGTCTCTTGCATTGGCATGCAGGTTCTTTACTGCAGTGCCATCTGGGAAGCCCACATAGGTGCCATTTGTTGTTGTTGTTCAGTCACTGAGTTGTGTCTGACTCTTTGCAACCCCATGGACTGCAGCACGCCAGGACTCCCTGTTCCTCACTATCTCCTGGAGTTTGCCCAAGTTGATGTCCATTGAGTTGGTGATGCTATCCAACCATCTCATCCTCTGCCACCCTCTTCTCCTTTTGCCTTCAATCTTTCTCAGCATCTGGGTGACCAAATAAGGGAGCAGTGTCAAGAAAGGGAGGCCAAGGGCAGCTGGGTGCTACATGGTTAACACAGCCAGCAGCCTAGCCCCTGCCCCCTTCTCTTCCAGGACATGGAGGTGCTGCTTGAGCACGGGGCAGACCCAAGCCTCAAGGACAGGCATGGCCGCTCTGCACTCCACAGGGCTGCTGCTGGTGGACATCTGCTTGCTGTCCAGCTGCTGGCCACCTGGGGAGCAAAGGTGGATTCTCAGGACAAGTTGGGCCTCACCCCCCTGCACCATGCTGCCCGGGGAGGCCACATAGAGGTCACTGGCCACCTCCTGGACAGGGGTGCAGAGGTCAATGCTGCTGGCTGGCTCCAGAAGACCCCCCTGCATCTCGCCATGGAGCATGGCCATGGCCCCACCGCAGAGCTTTTGCTGAGCCGAGGGGCCAGCCCCACCCTGCGGACACGGTGGGGGGATGTGGCCCAGGACCTGTGGCCTGCCCTCTGTGGAGAGCAGGAGGAGTCCTAGGGGCACAGGGCCCTGGGGTGGCAGGCCAAAGCAGGACGAAAGGCTCCGGGCTTCCATGGCCTTCAGGATGCACTCAGGCTTCTCTCTGCTGGTGCAGGGGAGAAGAGCCCAGAGATTCCTGGAGGAGACAGAGGCAGTGGCTGGAGCCTGAGCAACAAATGTGTCACTGGACCTGGAGCAGCTCCACTGACTCCCAGAGCCATTCACCCCTGCAGCTCACTCCTTCTCCACTCTCTGCAGTGGAGAGACTGAGTCATGACAGAACTGACTGAAACCCGATGGTCTCCGCTTTGTCTGTCCACCGTGGGTGTGTCACCCCCAGTGTGCCCTCTGTGCACGCCGACACGCTTACTGTGTCTCCTTAGATTCAGTGTTTGTCTGCTGGCACCCACTCACAAATGATGGGGCCGAATGAATGGCCAGCTGTTCTCCTCTCCCCTGCCACCTGACCCACCCCCGAACTGCCTTCTCTCATGTTACCAGCTGACGTCCTCCTGCCCAGAATCACCCAGGGCCAGACATGCTTCTGTGCACCAAGGCCCAGTGGATTATCACACAAACTAGTCCCAAACTGTTACCCTGCCCTGCCCTGCCGTTCCTGCCGGAACCCTAATAAAGGCCTGAGCCTTCCCAGAGCCCCTGCTCCTGCCTCCTGGTCGACACCAGTACTCCTGCCCATGTCCCTGTGCAGCGTGGTGTGCCCCCCACCTTCAGTGACATAAGGCATAAGAATCTGTCTTCAATGGCTTTAGCCTCTCCCTGTCATCACTCAGTCATCTCTGCAGTATAACAGATATAGAGGGACAGCTGTCTCTGATTGCCCACCGCTGTATCCTCAGAGAAAATCAGTGCTCTTATTCTATTTTTCTAGAAGAGCTCTAGAGGACAGATTTTGTCTTTCAAAAGTGAGAATCGTGCCAAAGTAGCGTCTCTGTGTGGCAGCCCTGGGAGCACTTGGATTTTACTCACAAGATAATGTAAACCTTTGGAGAGTTTGTGTTCCTGTGACATGGTCTCTTTGGTTCTAGGCCTGCAAGTGCCGAGTGGACCATATCTAGGAAGGGGAAACCCTGGAGACCAGTGAAATGGTGGCAGCACAGCAGTGGAGGTGGGAGAGGCAGGCAGAATTGGGGTGATTCTGTGGGCATAGCCGTCTGGACTTGCTGATGGTTGAACATGGGGGGCCAGGAAAAGGGAGACATAAAAATGACTCCTAGAGAGGCTGGGCTAGGTGGAGGGGTGGGTGGGAGAGCAGATGCACAGGAGATGAGATGCGAGGAAAGGTGGGGCTCTAGTTACATCTCTGGAGTCATCAAAGTAAGGATGGTTGTGCTTTTTCGACTGCATAGCATGGCATGTAGGATCTATAGCATCTTAGTTCCCTGACCAGGGATGGAACCTCTGCCCCCTGCAGTGGAAGCATGGAGTCTTAACAACTGGACCACCAGAGAAGTCCCAGGATGGTTTTTAAAGCTGCAGGATGGACCCACAACCAACCTCCAGCACAGCCTGTGGGCTCAACCTCAGAGCACACCCCCAGCCTGACTAACTCACCTCTCCCACTGCATCCACCACGTCCAGGCCAGCAACAGTCAGCTGTGCCTGCCCCCAGCCTAAATCAATCTTCTGGTTTAACCTGTGACTCCTGGGGAGCTCTTCTCAGAACAATAGCCATAATCCTATGGCATGATCCCCCAGGGGGCTCCCTCTCATGGAGTGTAGACCAAACATAGTGTATGGTGTTCGTTGATACCCCAGCGATCTTGGCTGTTGAATGCACTCCTTCCAGTGGGATCCCCTTGTTCCTCCCATCCAGAGCTGGAGTCTGGGTCTCCTTTTGAGCGGACTTTTGTGATTAGTCTAGTGCCCTAGCGCTGCCAAAGTAATGCTTCCACGGTGGGCTGAGAAGGTGACCAGGCTGCCTGGTCCTGCCCTGTGGCCACCATACTATGAGGAAGCCCATGGTACCCAGGACATCAGAGTCCTTCCTCGACCTCCAGGGCCCCTACATCCTCACCAGCCTCGGTTGCTGGCCTCTAGCGGCTGACTTGCTCACTGGCCCTGGACCTGCACTGGCTCTGCTCCCACCACTCTGGCCTTTTGCTGACCTTCCCCATACTGGGTCTGGCACATGCTGACCCTCTGGCTGAGTCAACACTTTCCTTGTTACTGGACCACCACTCTCTGGATGCATCCTTCCAACACTATCTAGAACCCCAAGGGAAGGCTCTTCTTTAAAGAGAATGCCAATAAATTTGGAAAGAGTTATAAAGTAAATGATTGCCGGGAGCCAGCATACGAGATCCCACCCATGACAAGGTCATGAGGGAGAAAACCTGACAGGCAAGGCGGATCAGGTTTTCAGGGGTTTCAAAAAGGCCAGCTCACAAGATCCCACCCATGACAAGGTCATGAGAAGAAAACCTGACAGGCAAGGTGGATCAGGTTTTCAGGGATTTCGAAAAGCTGCCCCCGGCGCTCACCTTAAAGATGATATCTGTCTTTCTGATGCCTGCCTCAATAGACTACTCCCTAATTTCTGTGACACAGGCAGAAGGCCTTCCCCCATCTCTTCCCAAATAAGAATCAATTTAGAACTTTAATCAATAAGTTTCCCAGGTGGTGGTATTTCATGAGATTATCCAGGGTGAAAGGAGTGTTTTAATTTAAACTCCTTTGCTGGTATTTTAGTTTGTTTGGCAAATGCATTTATGCCATTGGTACTAATATGCATGATTGCTTATATTAATACCCTAATCATAAAATAGCATAAAGAACCTGATCATATAAAGGCCTTAGTAGACATAGAGCCCTTTGGGGAGTGAGGAAGTCCTATTAGAAAACATAAGAAAAATTATCCTAAAGGTGGTTATTGGGTTGACGTTTGCTTGCTGTGTTTTGCTTGCTGTTTTTGCTTTTAATGTGCTAAGGTTGTGTTATAGAAACCATTGTTAATATAGCTAAAGATCTAGAGAAATAAGAGCCTAGAGAAATACCACCCTAGTGTGGTAACAATGAGATGGTTATTAATTGTCAGCCAGGAGTGCTAGGCAGAAGCTGCCTCACTGAAGCTGCAGAGTCTGTGTGGGGTAAACTTCTTAGATAAACGCAACTGACAACTTCTGCAGAAGGATTAAATTTTTGTGTTAACAAGGTTATACTTCCACTCTGTACTGTTGCCCTATGAGACTGCTACCTTTCAGTTAAGGTCACCATAGAAACAGAAAATAGGTTTGCATTCACCTGACCTGCATAAAATGTTAATAGGCCCCAAGGCCAGAAGATAATGTACAAGACCCTCATAAACAAAGAAGTATGCAGAAAACACCCTGGTTTTGTGAAGGACAAGCTGACGTAATGTTAAACTATCTTCCCCTTAGAAATGTACTAACTTAGGGTATAAAAGCTACGGTAAAAAATAAAGCATTGCCAGACTCTGCCAGACCCTGCAAACACCACCGTCTGGTCATTCTTTCTCTCTCTCTCTCCCCCTCTCCCTCGCAGACTTGGCCCCATCAAGGCTGGTCTCACGTGTCTTCTCTCTCTCTCTCTCGCTGACACCATTCATCCTGAGGGTATCCCCTGGATCCTACTGAGGCTGGACCCCGGCAAATGATGGACACCCAACTGAGTGAGTGCAAGTGGTCTTAGAGCCTGCTGGCCACAAAGAGGCTGCTCACACATCCATTCAAGCCCCACCCCCCACACCTTGTGGAGCTTCAAGTCCATGCCAGCATTTAAGCTGAAGGCATACTTCTCCTAGTGGCCCCAATGCTGTGTGAGCCCAGCACAGGTGCAGGGGTCTGGCCATCTCTGCCCAACACAAGGCTTCCCTGCTAGGCAGTCTTTGCTCCAGAACTGTTGTGCTGGCCGAGATGCTGACCAGTCTGCATTCTCCCTCTCTCACATGCACGACACAGTACACCTCTGTGCTCCCACCTAGCCTCTGCACATGCTTACAGGAAGGCTTGGGATGATTCATGAAGTATTTCCCTACAAACTATGTATTAGTTCAAATGTAAACCTGGCAACCATAACCAAGTGGTCAAAGCTGACATTACCTGTGTTGGGAAAGGCTGCCATCATGGCCCTGATACCCCATACCAAGGACACAATATAATTTCTGCAGTATTCTGCTGAAAATGTGTAACCTGATTCTAATCATGAAGAAACATCACACAAACTCTGGTTGAAAGGCACTCTGCAAAATAACTAGCCTGTACTCTTCAAGAATGCCAAGGTCAAGAAAGACAAAGGTTGAGGAACTATTCCAGATTAAGACTGAAAATGCAGAGTGTGATCCTGGACAGAGAAAAAAAGTGGTAAGAACTTTAGACAGAACTGAGTGTGGACTAGACAGCATTATTGCTTTACTGGTAAAGTTCCTAATTTCAATCATTGTGCTGTGATTTGTAACAGAATGTCCTTGTTCTCAGGAAACACACCATGATGTATTTAGCTGTCTCCAACTTCCTCTCGAATGGACCAGAAGAAAACTCCACTAATGTGTTTATAAACAATTATAGAGAGAGTGATTAAAAATGGAGCAAATGTAAACAATTGGTGCATTTGGGTAGTGCATATTGGGGAGTTTCTGGGACTAGTCTTCCAACTTTTGTGTAAGTTAGAACCAGACATGGAACAATGGACAGGTTCCAAATTGGGAAAGGAGTTCATCAAGGCTGTATATTGTCACCCTGCCTATTTAACTGAGATGCAGAGCACATCATGTGAAATGCAGGGCTGGATGAAGCACAAGCCGGAATAAAGACTGCCCAGAGAAATATCAATAACCTCAGATATGCAGATGACACCACCCTTAGGACAGAAAGCGAAGAGAAACTAAAGAGCCTCTTGATGAAAGCGAAAGAGGAGAGTGAAAAAGATGGCTTAAAACTTAACATTCAGACAACAAAGATCATGTCATCTGGTCCCATTACTTCATGGCAAATAGATGGGGAAAAATGTAAACTGTGACAGAGTTCATTTTCTTGGGTTCCAAAATCACTGCAGATGGTGATTGCAGCCATGAAATTAAAAGACGCTTACTCCTTGGAAGGAAAGTTATGACCAACCTAGACAGCACATTAAAAAGCAGAGACATTACTTTGCTGACAAAGGTCCATCTAGTCAAAGCTATAGTTTTTCTAGTAGTCATGTATGGATGTGAGAGTTGGACTATAAAGAAAGTTGAGCACTTAAGAATTGATGCTTTTGAAGTGTGGTGTTGGAGAAGGCTCCTTGGAATGCAAGGAGATCCAACCATTCCATCCTTAAGGAAATCAGTCCTGAATATTCATTGGAAGGACTGATGATGCTGAAGCTGAAACTCCAATAATTTGGCCACCTGATGCGAAGAACTGACTCACTGGAAAAGACCCTGATGCTGGGAAAGATTGAAGGCAGGAGAAGGGGACGAAGAGGATGAGGTAGTTGGATGGCATCACCTACTGGATGGACAGGAGTTTGAGCAAGCTCCGGGAGTTGGTGATGGACAGGGAAGCCTGGCGTGCTGCAGTCCATGGTGTCACAGAGTCGGACACAACTGAGCGACTGAACCGAAAAAACTACATTTACATGAAAAGTTACTAAGAAATTGCACACTCCCACTTTGCCCCGCTTCACTATTTTCTATAATAATGGTAATATAGTGGTTGTTGTTCAGTCGCTAAGTCGGCTCCAACTCTGTGACCTTCGTGGACTGTAGCCCGCCAGGCTCCTCTGTCCATGGGATTTCCCAGGCAAGAATACTGGAGTGGGTTGCATTTCCTTCTCCAGGGGATCTTTCCTACCCAGGGAACAAACGCGACGTCTCTTGCACTGGCCTGTGGTAAAATAGTGACAAAATACATACGGGATAAAACCTGTCATTCCAATCATTTGAAAGTGCGCAGCTCAGTGGCCCAATGTAGACCCTGGCCCCCTGTGAAAAGTAGCGCTGCTCGGCTCCGCAGAAGGAACCGCTCTCTGCTACTCTGCTGCTGGGGGCTACACAGTGGGGCTTCCACCTGGTCCCTAACCCTTTCCTCCACCGCCCCGCCCCCGAACTTGAGCATGCGTATAGAGGCGGGTTGGCGCTGCGGGCCCGAAGCGCACGCGCAACGACCCGGAAGTTCCCTTGAGGAGGGCGGAGTTGACTCGGAAGCTCTCGTGGGTTGTGGCGGAAGAGCAACACACGCCTTGGTGAACCGCAGTGCGGACGTCATGGTCTTCCTCAGTGCGCCGCTCTGGCTGCGGAACCGCATCACCGACCGCTACTGGAGGGTTCAGGAGGTGCTGAAGCACGCGCGGGTGAGTGTGCCGCGCGCCCCGCTCCCCTGGCCGACCCGGCGCACGCGGGCCCCGCCGACCGCTTCCTCTCCCTTTTCTTAACCAGCACTTCCGGGGGAGGAAGAATCGGTGTTACCGGCTGGCCGTCAGGGCTGTGACGCGAGCGTTCGTGCAATGCACGCGAGCCCGCAGTCTGAAGAAAAGGAACCTGCGGACGGTAAGCGCGGCCCTCTCGGCCTCACCCCGCCCTCCCGAGCCCGCGGCGCCCTGCTGCCGTGGGTGGCCCCGACCTGGCGAACTCTCCCGTGCACCCGTCCGCTCGCAGCCCGTGGGGGCCGGCTGTGTAGGACGCTCTGTGTGGCTGTCAGCGGTGCGCGCAGAGCCTGTCGAGCACTCAGAGCTCCCGCGTCACCCACCCGCCCTCGCAGCTTTACCGACGCAGTTTCCTGCAGTGCCTACCCCTCGGTGCCCCTGGAGCGGACGCCACTGTCCACGTCACCCCGACCATTCGCGGGGCCCCCGCTTCCTCCCCTCCAGGCTGCTCACCTCCTTGAAGCTTCCACCCGAGAGCGCTCCTTCCCTGCCTGGTAGCACTCGTCTCAGTGGCCGTCGTAATCTCCACACATGGATTCTTCTGCACCCGGAGTGGTGTCTGCCCCAGCACCTCTCGCTGATTTTTGTATTCTGGCTCGAATGTGCGAGATGTGAGCTTAACAGCTGGCATTTGGACAGAGGGCATCAGGCTTTGCTCACTGTTGTTTGCAGTGCAGCCTGAATAGGACACTGACTTTTGTATCTGCTTTTACGAAAAAAATTTTTAATTCACTCCGAACCTTTGCTGGGAGGTGTGGACGTGACATACAGCTGATTCTCAAACATTTCGACGTTTCCTTATTTCAGCTCTGGATTAATCGAATTACAGCTGCCTCCCAGGAACACGGTCTGAAATACCCAGCATTCATCCTCAATTTGATTAAGGTATGGTCGAGGATGTGGTCCTGGCGAGACATTAACCGTCTTTATTTATTTTTTAACCGTCTTTATAACCCGTCCAGATTTCATGCTCTAGCAGGCTCTACCGTGGAGTGTTAGCAGGCTAACACTGTTTTCATTCTTTTTTTTTTTTTTTTTTTTTGAGGCGGGGGGAATGTCTTTATTAATATTAGAGAAATCCAAGATTACAGAGGACTTAAGGGTTGGCATTGAGGCCCACTGCTTTCACTCTTGGGGAGGGGTTCGCCTCACTTGCTCTTTCATTGCCCTGCTGGTAGCAGAATTAGTAATAGGGTGTGTGGTACCAACACAAAATCATGCTGTTTCCCCATCAAGAGTGAAAAGCAGAAAAACTTGGCTTTAACTCTGAAATTTAATTTCAAATTTTTCATGTTGAATAAATTATGACAAGGTTGGCAGATCAAGTTGAAACATAATTAAATGGAGCGAAACATTTGGAATGTTAGAGTAAGCAAGTGTCAGAGATCTCAGTCACTCACATCTAGACTGTATGCCACTTCCTCTATTTTTTTGGCTCCACCCTATGACATATGGAACTTCCCCCCCAACCAGGGTTCAATTCCTAACCCTAACCAGGGATGAAACCTGAACCTCCTGCAGTGGAAGTGTGGAGACTTAACCCTGGACCATCAGGAAGTTTGTCCCTACCCCCTCTGCTTTCTTATGCAGTTAAATTTTTTCTTCAAAAGCTCGGGGAGTAGGTGAGTTGGTGCCGTGCTTCTTCCTGTGCCAGGTGGGCCTGGCGCTTCACAGAGATCCTCAGGGCATGTGTAGGTGTGACACGTCCATTTTACTCATGGGGAACTGGCTCAGAAAGGAGAGAGGGACTGTGCACAGGGGTCCCGTAGTAGAACAGGAGGCACTCCTGCACAGCTGCATTTAATGTCACAAGACCACCCCCTTTTTTCCTGCACCTCAGACTCCCAGGTATTGTCCATTGGTTTTCTATTATCTTACGCGACAGGTGACTTACTTTGGCTCTCTTGTGGAAATTAGAAATGCCCAGTTTTGTTTATTTCTGGCTGTGCTTGGTCTTTGTTGCTGCGTGTGGGCTTTCTCTAGTAGTGGTGAACAGGGTCTAGTCTCTAGTTGTGGCACTTGGGCTTCTCATTGCAGTGGCTTCTTTCGTAGGGCACAGGCGCTAGGCCAACACAGGCTTAGTTGTTCCACTGCATGTGGGATCTCCCCGGATTAGGGATCAAACCCATGTCTTCTGCACTGGCAGGCAGATTCTTTATACCACTGAGCCACCTGGGAAGCCCAGAATGCCCAGTTTTGGTCCTTGTTCTTCTGTGCCTCACATACCTTTTCCATGTCTCATTTTTCACCATTTATATAATGGGAATTGTACTTCCCTCTTCCCACCTGACTTACAGGGATAACTTAGGCCAGGAATCTGGTATTGGGAGCTGTGCCCTTCCCTTCTACTCACTTGTCCTACTCCTACTTGGACAAGACTCACCATGCCCTCTCCCCCACTGGTGCTCAAGCAGTATGTATTGGTGACTGAAATCACAGGGTGATTAGCTGCACTCAAGTCATTTTATGTTTCACTGAAATGCTAAAACATTTAACTATGATTTTCTTCCCAGTGCCAGGTGGAGCTCAACAGGAAAGTACTTGCAGATCTAGCCATCTATGAACCAAAGACTTTTAAATCTTTGGCTGCTTTGTCCAAAAGAAGGCGAGAAGAAGGATTTGTTGCTGCCTTGGGGGATGGGAAGGAGCCTGAAGGAATTTTTTCCAGGGTAGCACAGCGCCACTGAGGGGGATGCTGATACCAACGGCCCTTTGAGCATCCCCCTATGATGATAATACTAAAATAGGGACTACAAGTTATTTGTCAACAGTGTGTAGGTTTGACTTGTGTTAATTAACTTGTGTTAATTTACATGTGTAAACATGTGTTAATTTACATGTCAGTTACAAGCCTGAGAGAAAAGGACTTGTCTTGCCTCATTGGCACAGGTTCAGAAATCTCACATGGATTGTGTAAATAAAGTTTCTGTGGTGTTTGAATTAAGTTCTTCGGTATCAACAAATGCCTTGGGTGGGCCCTGACTGGGTATTGATGCTACCAGGGCGCGGCTTCCCCTGGGAATCTTAGATTCTCCTGAAGGCTGGGGGGTGTGCACCAGGTCTTACACTGGCCTTGCTAGTGCTGCCCCACCCCATTTTGGTTTTCAGTAGGGACTCCTGGCTCAACTCTTCAGCCACTGAGCAGCAGCAGGTTTCCCTCACTGTAGACCAGCAGTGGCAGCAGGCAGGGTGGTTCTCCTGATCTCTGACTCACTTTAGCCTCCAAAGGTCACCTGGGGAACCTTAATGTAAGGCTTCTGGTTCCTCACCCAAATACTTGACTTCATTAGTTCCAGAATTAACCCAGAAATCTCTGCTGATGGAGGCTGCTTCACAGGTCAGCCCTGTCCACCTCTTCTGACCACAGCCATGCAGAGGTGTCTCCCCTCCTGCTCAGTGATGGGGCCTTCCTCTGGTCCTCTGTGGGAGCCTCATCTGCTGAGCCCTCTAGCTCTGGCCTCCTGTAACTGCGTCTCTGATCAGCCCCACCACTCCCTGACAGCTCTCACCAAAACCATCTCCTAGTCCCCCAATCTAGGGACACTGTCAGCCCTGGGTGACATACACTCTCTTCCCACCTCGGGCTCACTACCCTCCAGGACTCTGACCTCACCCTCAACACCCTCTGCTCTAAGAGGGCTCTTCAGACCCACTACAGTAGTCGTTGTCTGTGGACTCCTACACTTACCTGCCTTCACCTCAAAATTCCCACACTGGGTCCTGTGCAACACCATCCTTTGTCAGCCAACCCCTGGAAGTCACTCCTTCCTCAGACACACCCACCTCCAACTAGATAAGGAGCCAATCAAATCTTGGCCACCGATTGCCTGGCAACCTTTACAGTCTGCCCACTTCCCTCCATCCTCATGTGGCAAGTATCTCCTCCAGCTGCAATTACTGCACTGGCTTCCTAAAAGGAAGCCTCCTCTAGCCCTCGTTATATCCAGTGATGGCCACTAGACTAAGCACTGGAAGGCAGAGAGCTAAGTCCTGTTCTGCCACACCGTATGCAGTTGCCTGACTCCATACCTCGTCAGTAAACGGCTCTTGTTGAAAGACAACAGGGTGGAGGATACAGGGAGCTCTCTGGCGTAGGGACGAAGTTCTGTGTAACAGGCACTGTTACGGAAGAGCTGCCTTCTCTTTGTTCATCTTGATAAAGGAAGGTGGGGAAGTGGCAGACAACTGTGTGCTGTTCCTGGCACACATTCCCGCACCCCCACCCCCAGCTCCCACCAGAAGCTGGCAGTCATTAATCCTGAGAGCGCCTGGTGCAACCGATGAGAAAATGGAGGGTCAAACCCCTGGATGGCTCCCCGCTGTTGTTAAGACAAAAGTCCAAGCCCTTCCCGTGCTGCCCGCGCCCTCCTACCCCCGCATCGCAGCCTAGCTCTTCTGCCAACCTCGGGGGAACTCATGCTTCATGCCTCTTTGCAGTTGCTGTGCTTTGTAAAACATCGAATTAAACGTTTCCAGCTACCATCTCTCTCCTCTCTAGACTCAATTCTGAAAGCGAGATCTTCGGGAGTCTGGCGTTAATACCTGTACTCCAAAACCTCTACTCAGTAAACACCGTGCCGGCAGCCACAAATTAACTGGGGAAACAGCATCTCGTTGCTGCTGGGCGCGGGCTGGGAAAACTTACCACGCGTGCGCCCATCCTTTAAGTTCGGAGACCTCGGAGACGTCTGACAGCTCCACTCAAGTCCTGGACCACCCGCCCGAAAGACTCAAGGAGAGCTGCCTCCCGCCCCCGCCCCGCGGGCCTTCGCGACAAGGGGCGTCTCGCCTGGCTCTACTTACCAGGGGCTGCCCGCGGGCCCCTTCAGACTCCCTCGGCACCCGCTTGACCCCTAAGAAGCCTGGGGCTGCGGTGGAAACCGGGAGTTCCCGGGTCTCTGCGCGGACCCTACAGACACCCTGGAACGGTTAGACCAGGAAAGTCGCCGGGAGCTGGCCCCTGCGATTACTACTTCCGGGTCGGGATCGAGATGACGGTATCTCCAGGACGCCGCAGGGTCTATTGGGTAACGAGCCTTTCCCCCACCCGCGCCGAGTTCCGGCGTCGGTCGCGCCGCTGACGGACAGGCAGCAGAGCCAATCGGGGCAAGGGAACCCCGAACCGCCCGCCAGTCGAACCAATGGCACGCGGCGGGGCGGGGCGGTCGCGGTCCCAGAGCGTCGCGAGGAGCCGCCCTGCCGGGAAGGAGCCAGAGAGGGAGTCGGCGGCACAAAATGGCGGCGGCGGCCGGGGCCGGGGCTTCAGGGTCGACGGCCCCCGCGGTAGCGGCTGGCACGCCGGGCTCCGGAGGCACAGCCCCCGGCTCACAAGGGGTGCTGATCGGGGACCGGCTGTACTCCGGGGTGCTCATCACCCTGGAGAACTGCCTTCTGCCCGACGACAAGCTCCGCTTCACGCCGTCCATGTCGAGTGGCCTCGACACCGACACGGAAACCGACCTCCGCGTGGTGGGCTGCGAGCTCATCCAGGCGGCCGGAATCCTGCTACGCCTGCCGCAGGTGAGGGAGTTGCCTCGGGCCGAGGTAACGCCGCGCCCGCTCCGAGAAGGCTGCCAGGCCCTTTGTTGGCGGCGGGGCCGGAATCGGACCCGGAGCTCGCTTCGTGTCCCTGCCCAGAATCCGGGCCCAGCAATGACCCCCTACCCGGATCCCAACCCCACTCCTTACTGATGTCGGGTACCCGGCTCAGATCATTCTCCTTATTCTCACCGACAACCCAGCCCCCACCCCGTTCGTGTCCCCACTCGGGACCCGGGCCCAGCGCCTACCCAAGGCCGGAGAGCCCCTGCTGCAGCCCACCAGAGGTGATAAAGGAGGCGAGGCAGCGGGATGCAAAGAACTTTTGTGGATGCAGAAAACGTTTCAGCTTCTGGTTCTTTAACAGAAGTTTCGCGAAACCCAGTGGTTTAATTCGAGACCCATGAAGTGGGCAATTGAAAAGGATGGAATCTTTCTCTTGTGCAGGTGGCCATGGCTACCGGGCAGGTGTTGTTCCAGCGGTTCTTCTACACCAAGTCATTTGTGAAGCATTCCATGGAGGTGAGACTTCCTCCCCATCTTTCTTCCTCACAGAAACGTGCTGACAGGAAACCTGGGTTTGTGGTGTTGCCGGTCGCTCAGAGGAAGGAGTACTGGCTTTGGCAATTGTAATGCTCGCTGTATTTGGGGTGGGGTGTGTTGGGAAGCCACCTGTGCTGTAGAGGGGTCTCTCCCAAGTGGCCTTTTTCTCCGGGTGTATCTCCTCTGCTCTTAACCGCCGTTCTTCAGCTGTTGGAGACCGGTCCTTAGAAGGAATCTCTGTCCCGTTGCTTACATTTCAGCACGTGTCAATGGCCTGTGTTCACCTGGCCTCCAAGATAGAAGAGGCTCCAAGGCGAATACGGGACGTTATCAATGTGTTTCATCGCCTTCGACATCTGCGAGAGAAAAAGTGAGTCCATCAGCGCTGTCATAGACATCTGCCTCCGTGTTTTAGCAGTTATTCAGTTACACTAGTTTTGGGGACAAAATTTAGGGTGTGAGGTTTTACACTTGTGCCCAGAAGGAGGCCTGACAGCTGGGAGGTACCCTTCAGATTCTGTTAATTAGTGAAGGAACCATTGTCAGCAGGAAGGGGACTGTGGCTGTTGTCTGACTGACATCAGTTTCCTGGTTGCTCACCAGGCTGTTTGGTCAGCCTGGATGCTCTGGAGCTGGTTCTCACCCTCAGCACTGTTTACATTTTGGGCTGGATGAGGCTTTGTTGTGGGGACTTCCATGTGTATTGTAGGGTATTTAGAAGCATCCTTGGCCCAGGGTTTCCAATGCTCCAGGTAATGGAGGTCCTTTGTGAAACAAAGTTCTGGCTGTTTAAGCATCGTGCTTCTGTAGGTTCTTTGGATTTCCATTCACCCACAGCGCATCTGCTTATGTCTTGAGCCCAACAAAGGATGTGCAGTCCTTGTGCGATGAGATGGTGAGACCCTCCTCTCTTCAGTCCACGTTTATCGTCTGTAAGGAAAACAGGGAGAGGGTTATTTTGAGGAGGCATAAGTAGGTTAGCATGGGGTTTGAGGAAGACTTTGTGGTTTTGTTAGTTAAAGGAAGTGAACTTCCTGACTCCATCTTTGTTGTGTGTATGGTAGATTGTTACTGGAGGTAACTGTGGGATTTGATAGATAGACTGTTTTGTTTGATTCTTATGCAGAGTGTGTGTTTTGTCTTTGTAGAAAACCTGTGCCTCTACTCTTGGATCAAGATTACGTTAACTTAAAGAATCAGATTATAAAGGCGGAAAGGCGAGTTCTCAAGGAGCTGGGTTTCTGCGTCCACGTGAAGCACCCTCACAAGGTGGGTATGAGGCCCAGCTGCCACGTGGGCCCATCAAAGTGACTGCTGCATTCCTACCCAGATTGGGAACTCCAAAGGATTAAATGTGTCCCTGATTTGGTTTTCCAGTTTATACCTGTACTCTGAAAGATAACTGTTTTGTCATCAGCCTGTTCATATTATGTTAATTTTACTAGTATATTTTTTAGAGGTGGAAGTTATCTCTTTTTAGTTTGAGCTTTCAGAAATAGTGATGAGTACTTGTAAGAATGAAATCTGTCAGTTTACTGTTTCTTTCTCAACAGCTGATTTTCTAAAGCTGCTTAAGTAATAACTTTATTTTCTTTTATGGGGGGATTGGAAGAATTCTGAACCATTTATTTGGAAGTGAAGGAGGAGAGTTTTGCAGCGTGTATCAGTTGAGCACATGATAGCACACATATCTTCCATGTTCCCCTCAAATGCAGAGTGCTGTTTTCATCTCTCTCTATCCCCTTTTTATTGGGGGTTTCCTCATAGCTTCTTTCTCACTTGTGTGACTTTCTGGCATTATTTCAGAATCTTGGTAAATTATTCACCATAGATTTAAGAGCTTTTTCTTCATTTGCTGAAAGTATTCTCACGCCATGCTTTGTATAAGTTAGCGGCTGGGGTACAGAAGCGTTCCAGGCAGGCTACTCTCACTGGCGGAGAATGTGTCGAAGATGAGAATGAGCCTGAGCCCTGGCCGCAAGAAGCTCAGTGCAGCTAGGTCCTCCTGTGCTTCCCTGGTGCCTGGCTCAAAAGCAGGGAGCAGGCACGTCAGCAAAAACTCCCCTCCAGCTGAACTGTGCACCGGGCGTGTGACAGGAGCCAACCCTGGGATCTAGCACGAGGCTCTTGTTTGCTGCATGGACGCCCTCAAGATCTGAATTCTGGGTTCTCAACGTTCTCGGTAATAACTGCCTGACCCGTATCTTCCAGATAATCGTTATGTACCTTCAGGTGTTAGAGTGTGAGCGTAACCAACACCTGGTCCAGACTTCATGGTGAGTTGACCTTCCTTGTTATATGAGACCAGCCAGGGCAGTGCAGGAGTATGTTGTTTTGAGACACCTGGGCAGTGGGTAGTCGGTCCCATAACTTGCTTGTGGGCTGGAGTTGTCCAAGTGCCCAGTGTTCCTGCCATGTAAATTCCAACCAGATTCCCAAAATATCAGGCACTGGTGGAACGGTAAGGTGACCCATCCCCCCCATCCCCCAGGAGAGCAGTCAGCGGGCTTCCCTTTGGGGGCTGTTGACTAGACACGTCGGGATCTTTCCCACAGCTGGCAGTGTGGACTTAGTAGTTTCATATCTAATGTGAACTTGCTTCTTACTGCCTCAATTAAGCAAATCGTATGGGAGGAAGAGGGGGTGTAGGGCCCTCCTACAATTTGGGGACTGATTTTTAACAGTGTGCTAATATACTAGAAGTGAAGCCTGAAGTAACAGTTCAGTGCTGGGTGCTTTCCCACAGAGTTAGGTCTGTAAGGGTCATGTTTTTGCTGCCTGAATTGTCTGGTGCTGTGCTGTGCTAATGGAGAACCTATTTTGACTTTTCTTTTCTGTACTCTTTCAATCAAAGGGTAGCCTCTGAGGGTAAGTGACTAAGACTTCTCCTCTCCTGTCCAAGCGCTTCGGTGCGGGGACAGCGGCCGTCCTCAGCCAACCCCGTGCAGGCTCTCCACCGAAGGCTGGCTCTAGATGGTGGTATGCGCACGATAGTCTAGTGCTGGCCCACTGCTGCTGTGGTTCTCTGACGGTTGTGCTTCTTGTTAATCCTCTGTCGTGCTTGGTAATTGTATTGATTAGAGTTGATAACTGTCTTGACTTAAATTTTGTCCATTTGAAACTGCTCTCTACCTGTGCAATAAAGATGCAGTACCTTTCTCTTAAAAAAAGCAAACTAGGGGATGCTGTGAAAACTGGCTGGTGGGAGTTGAGACTGTAGTGTGGGGTGGTGGTATTTATTTCTGGAAGTCCTGAAGTTGCTCTTCTCAGCAGCTAAGGGTTGACACATTTTTGTAAAAGGTGTGCATCTTTAAATCATTCCATGGACACTGTTTATATTGTAACATTTTAAAAATAGTAACTTTAAATATATGTTTTGAGGACATTTGTTTTTTTAAGGACATAAAAGTTAATGGTTTAATGATGTTATAACTGAGTACTAAATGCTTTTTTATTAGAACGAAATAGTTACTGATGGTTGTGTTTATTAAATGTTTGAACTGTTTACTTGCAACTCTCGGGACATATGGCCTTGGCTCCATCACACAAAGTTTTTTTGGTCCCCTCTGGGTACCTGGAGCAAGATCTTAAGAGCCAGGTGCTCCTATTGGGCAGATGTAGAATTTATCACTGAGAAAGCTCTCCATGGGTTTGTAAGTCACCTTCTCCAGGATTTGGGGCAGAGATAACCAGGGTGGGGGGTGCATCAGTTAGGCCCCAGCATGACTTGGCTGCCCCCGTGGGTGTAGCCTGCTATCATTGGGGTATGTTAGAAGCAATGAATGTATGAACTTTTCAACTGTTCTCTTGTGCAATGAATCTCTGCAATATTTTCTGTTGTGTTTTTGCAATATTGATAAAATTAATGTGAGGTTTGATTTTTGGTCTTTTAAATCTTAGAGAAACATATTTAAATGAAATTGCTGAAAATGTAGCCAACATTAGAATTCTAACCTTTTAAGAAATGCAGATGTTTTGTATTTTTATATCTTCTAATACGATAGTTTTTTAAAATGTACTGATTGTGATGAAACTTGTAGTATTTTGTTGCTTTTATCTGATTTTATGAATGTTCATTTTAAGACTCCTTATTGAAATGGGACAATTTGGAAATGGTTCTTTGATAAACCTGAGAAGAGGATTTCCCTTTGGGCACTGAGCCCTCTGCATGACGTTCCCATGTACCCAAGGGAGTTTTTCCCCCTTGTCAAGTGGACTCCTGTGTGGAAGAAGCCACAGCATGAGTACCTCTTCCCGGAAAAGGAGCGCAAGAGGACGACTTGTCTCAGAAAGGCCCTCGCAGGCTTTGTGCTCAGCCCGTTCATTTGAGTTTGCATGTTTCTCTGCACTATGGATTTTGAGCATTTAAATTTTCTTAATCAAATATGTTGAACTGCCACAGTAGACATCTTTCTGAGGCACTGTGTTTTGCATGAGAGCAGGCCAAAGGTTGAGAGGGAAAAGTAAAGTTAAAGTTGGTTCTCTTTCATAGCAACATGTACTCTGACATTCAGCCAGCTTTAAAAGATTTTTTTCAGTAGTTTCCCTATCTTCCTATCCTGTATTCAGAAAAAGCAGTTGGGATGTTTCTCCATGAACTTGTGAGAATCACAGGACTGTCTAGCTCTTAAGTCCTGGCCGTAGACTAGTTAGTGGAGTAGTGACTTTACCTCGACAGTGCAGACGGGTGTCATGTGTGTGCCCCACTGGTTTCAGTTCTTCCTGTGTTTGGTTTTTAGGAACTACATGAACGACAGCCTTCGCACAGATGTTTTTGTGAGGTTCCAGCCTGAGAGCATCGCCTGTGCCTGCATCTATCTTGCTGCCCGGACGCTGGAGGTCAGTGTGGGGCCACATGGGGAGTCACCAACCTCAGTAAACTGTGTACTGTGCTTCAAGTTATTTTCACTGGTGTCAATAAAAAGCCTACTTGTTGGTGAGCATCAGGCTTATTTTTATTGCCCTGAGAATCTTGTTGGTTATGAAGAATGGTTAATGGTGATGGCCTCTGTGTTCACAGATCCCTTTACCCAATCGTCCCCATTGGTTTCTTTTGTTTGGAGCAACTGAAGAAGAAATTCAAGAAATCTGCTTAAAAATCCTGCAGCTGTATACTCGGAAAAAGGTTCTGTGTCTTTTCGTGTAACGTGTGCACCTGTGTTTGACTGGAAGCATCTGGTCTGAATCATGCACTCTGGCTTTTCTAGGTTGATCTGACTCACCTGGAGAGTGAAGTGGAGAAGCGCAGGCATGCCCTCGACGAGGCGAAGGCACAAGCCAAGGGCCTGCTGCCCAGCAGCACCCAGGTGCTGGACAGTGCATCGCGGTTCTCGCCTGCCCCCAAGCCTGGTAAGCGTCTCCTCCCAGGGGTGGCCCTCTCATCCTGAGTTCTCTCGGATCACATCTGCAGCTAGTCTGAGAGCTCCTGAGGGCTCCAGAGTCCTCAGCAAACAGGAGATAATCTTTGAAGTGCGAGGCAGGGGCTCCTGTGAAGTCCGTTCTTGTGTTTTCATTAATAAGGGGTATGGACAGGCTCCTGAAATGGCTCTCCTTACCCAGCCCACCCAAATAGTTTGCCTTGATGAAAGTCTCATAAATCTGGAGGAGTAGATCCTGGTTAGATCCTAGAGTTAAGCATGATGCCTGTCCCCAGTCCCAGAGGCCTGGCGAGTGAGACAGGTGGTCTTCCTGCATCTGGAGGTCCTGAACTGGGCTGGGAGTCAGAAGTCAGAGTTGGCAGCAGCAGTCCCTTGGGGAGTGGCCTCACCTTGCTCGGCTTTCCCGTTTCTCACCAGAGCAGTTGTTGGGTTGTAACTTCTTGTGATTGATTCTAGTGGAATCCCCCAAAGAAGGTAAAGGAAACAAGCTTTCCCCACTCTCTATGAAGAACACAAAGAGGAAAGTGGAGGGTGTGAAGAAAACCAAGGCGGACAGTCCGGTGAATGGGTGAGTATCCACGTGCCCAGATGGCACTGGGGTTGGCTAGAGAGACTTGAGGTCTCAACTGTTCTCTGCCCTATTCTCAGCTTGCCCAAGGGGCAGGGGAGTCAAAGCCGGAGCGGGAGTCACGAGCAGAGCTACTCAAGGTCCCCGTCACATTCCGCGTCCCCTAAGAGAAGGTGTGTGCTGCTTGGGTGCATGGGGCTGCAGCAGGCACTGGGATGTTTCCTGGGGAAGTGGTGTGGCCTCTCCTTGGGGACAGTTGCTCCTGACCCTGAGATGGTCGGGATGGGTTGTCACCTGCCTGGTGGTCTCCTTCACAGGAAAAGTGACAGTGGCTCCACATCTGGTGGATCCAAGTCACAGAGCCGCTCACGGAGCCGGAGTGACTCCCCACCACGACAGGCCCACCGGGGCGCCCCCTACAAAGGCTCCAAGGTGCGGAGCTACCGGAGACCCAAGGACTGCAAGTACTCTGCTCAGAAGCCACACAAGTCCCGGAGCCGGAGCTCCTCCCGCTCTCGGAGCCACTCACGGGAGCGGGCAGATGCTTCTGGAAAATACAAGAAAAAAAGTCATTACTATAGAGACCAGCGACGGGAGCGTTCCCGGTCTTACGAGCGAACAGGCCATCGCTATGAGCGGGACCACCCTGGGCATAGCAGGCACCGGAGGTGAGGGGTGGGGGTCCCCGCAGGACTGTGCTTTGGCCCTCCGTGTGGACACCTCAGCTGCTGGCCCTGGGGTGTGACCCTTTCTGGATATAGTTGTTGACTCTGGACCGTGTGATGAATTTGGAGATGGCATGGAGAGGCTGGCAAGGTGCCCTTTCGTCTGGCCTGGGCCCAGCCCCCGGCTCTTGCCCAGCGCCTCAGCAGCAGCCCTGCTAGATGTGAAGGCGGGGCACGTGTCCCAGCAGCGGGGTTTGGTGCTACGACAGGCTGTCCACCCCCGAACCCATACTTAATTACGTTAAACCAAGAAAGTGACTTTTCGAACCTTTGCCTATATTAGGTTATACTATGTATGTATTTTGCAGTGTTTCACAATGAGAAAATGGCCTTAATAGCCCCTTACTCTGTCTGCGTTGTAAATAAACATGTGTTTAATACGAGTTAAAGCTATATATGAAAACTGAGAACTTGAACTGTCAGCTTAAAACTTGTGTAGAGAATTCTGATTTTTAAAATGTGAAGGTATTTAGATCTGTGTTGAAAGTCGTATATTTTTATCTGTGTGATGCTGAGTGCAGGCCACCAGCTCCTAGAGGTTTCCTATATATGCATTTTACGTTGTTAAATAAACAATTCTCTCTACTCAGGACATTTGGAAAGTTAAAGGGGTTGTCGTTTGTCATTCTCATTGTTTGCTCCCCTGCAGAGCCTGCAGCACTCATCTAGCAGTGTGTCTGTGCTCCCCTCTCTGATCTGATTACAGTGTTGGGTTTTGTACTGAATTCTGTGCATCTGCTCCTCTCTGAGGGTTTGTGAGGGCTCTGAGCTGTCTGCTGCCAGCAGGGTAAATGGAGGATTTGCAGAGGACAAAGATCATCACCCTGGAGGGGTCCTCTGTGGGAATGGGTGAGGACAGCTCGGTGGTCCTGGAGAGCAGGGTGGGTCAGGGCTGTCTCCAAGTGCTGCGTACACTCTGTATAGATCAAAGGCACTCGGGGGGCCTGTCTATGCCCCGTGTTGGCTCTCTCCAGACTGGCACTTCATGGGTGGAAGGCACACCCTTCCTGGTGACAGTGGCCTGGAGAAAGGTGCCTGAAGTCAGTACAGCCAAGGTGTGAAAGCAGCAAGGTCAACATCCAGGGTCCAGGTGGCTCACTCTTAGAACCAAACCATAAAAAACTGCAGAGGCCGAGAGGTAGGCTCCTGGATGTGTTCAGACATCTTTCAACCTGGGAACTAGAAGCTGTGCCTCAGGCTGAAGGGTAAATCCTCTGGTGACTAAGTTATAGAGCTGGGCCCAGATCCTGCAGTTTTGCCCTCCCACTGGCCTATACTCTACTCCCTGCTTAGCCAAGTTGGGGCCTGGGGGTTGCTAGGTCTGGCCATTTCGTACTAAGACTCACTGGAAGACCCTCCTACAGGGCAAGCCTCAGAGGAGGACCAAAGAGGCTCCCTACATCCTTGTCCCAGCAGGAGCTCCTTCAGGTCCATTCTGGGGATCCTGTCCATCCTAGCCAACCTCATGACAACAGAGCCTGTCTGTGTTACACGGGTTATGTGGGCCCTTTGAGCCCCTTACCCCGAGGAACAACACTGGGTCTTAGCTCAACCCCATGCTGCTTCTGGTTTTCAGACAAAAACTTCTCGTGGACACAACATAGGAGCCTGTTTGCTTTAAGGAAGGAATATACTCCACCTATGCAAAAAGCGTCGTACTATCTATCCCACGGTACGTGCGGGACGTCCTTCGCTTATCCAGACTGGCAGAGCGGAGACTGCAAGCCAAAGCGGAGGGGTGGCGGGTCCGAGACACCCAAGTCACTCCTGACGACGCCCCGGCTCTAGCCCAACGCCTGGCACCTGTCTACCACCTTTACCGCCCCAAAAGGCGGGCTCGGGGGTGAAGACAACGTCCCTCAAGACGAGTAGCTCCGAGTCCGGCTCCCGCCCCGGCATCTGCAGTAGTTAGGGCCACTTCCGTCGCCCCCGCAAACTCTTCTACCGTCGCTGGGAAAACGCCATTTCCGGCTTCCTGGGGCGACTGACTCTTGACTGTCGGGGAGCGACCAGAATTCGAATCACGCAGGCGCAGAGGGAACACCCTTGGGATTGTGGTAAGTGTAGTTTTCTAGCCTCCGCGAGGGACAGGCGGAGTCGGCGAGCTGTGGGAGGGGCTGGGCACGGGGGGCGGTTCCTTCGGCCGGAAACCGTCGCTTTCTGGGTCAGGCAGGACCTGCGCCGACTGGGAGTGGGGTGCCGAGGGGCGCTAGGGGGAGCTGGGCGTAAAAACACGCAGGCGGCTGCGCTCGGGCTGGGGCTTCCTTAGGAACGGACCGGAAGTGCTTGAGCGAGGCGAAGGTATGGGTTATTGGACTTCCCTTGTGGTGTCTGGGCAGAGTCTGTGTGAGCACCCGGCGAGCGGGCTCCGCGGACAGCCCAGGAGGCCGCGGCTGGCTGGGGCTCGGGGCCCGAGACCCGATCGTATACACAACCTGCGAGGTGGGAGACTTGGGGTGAAGCTGAGGCTCAGGGAGGGCCAGTACCTGCCCAGAGTCGCGCTGCTGGGGACTCTCGGAGGCAGAGGTTTTGAGGGAGGAAGCTGTACTCGAAGTGGCATCCTCGTGGTGAGGAAGCTGTACTCGAAGTGGCATCCTCGTGGTGGGAGAAGGTGGCTAGGGAGACCGGGTGCGAGAATCGGAACGAGACTAGAACCCCCAGAGTGACCTCTGCGCCCACCTGTGTTCCAGCTCCGCTGATCGCCTGGGGCCACAGCCACGCACAGACCATGTTTTTGATGCGCCTGACTTCCCAGCTGCTCAGGGCTGTTCCCAGGGCAGGTAAGAAGCCCTGTGGGGGGAGATGGGCGGGATACACACCTGGGTTAGGAGTATGGAGTTAGCAACTCTGTTACCTGCGCTGCTGTTCCTCACCACCTGAAGGCGAGGCCAGGCCACACAAACTGCCCTGTTGTTCAGTCGCTCAGTCCTGTCGGACTCTTTCTGACCCCCATGGACTGCAGCATGCCAGGCTTCCCTGTCCTTCACCATCTCCCCGAGCTTGCTCAAACTCATGTCGGTGTGCCATCCAACCATCTCTTTCTCTGTCATCCTCTTCTGCCTTCAACCTGTCCCAGCATCAAGGTCTTTTCCAGTGAGTCAGCTTTTCACGTCAGGTGGCCAAAATATTGGTGCTTCAGCATCAGTCCTTCCAGAATTTCCTTTAGGATTGACTGGTTTGATCTTGCAGTCCAGGGGACTCTCAAGAGTCTTCTCCAGCACCACAGTTCAATAGCATCAATTCTTCGGCACTCAGCCTTCTTTATGGTCCAGATCTCACATCCATACATTACTACTGGAAAAACCATAGCTTTGACTAGACAAACCTTTGTTGATAAAGTAATGTCTCTGCTTTATAATACGCTGTCAAGGTTTGCAGAGTACATCATGCAGAATGCCGGGCTGGATGAAGCACAAACTGGAATCAAGATTCCTGGAAGAAATATCAATAACTTCAGATATGCAGATGACACCACCCTTATGGCAGAAATCAAAGAAAAACTAAAGAGCCTCCTGATGAAAGTGAAAGAGGAGAGTGAAAAAGTTCACTTAAAACTCAACATTCAAAAAGCAAAGATCATGGCATCTGGTCCCATTACTTCATGACAAATAGATGGGGAAACAATGGAAACAGTGACAGACTTTATTTTTTTGGGCTCCAAAATCACTACAGATGGTGACTGCAGCCATGAAATTAAAAGACACTTGCTCCTTGAAATGAAAGCTATGTCAAACCTAGACAGCATTTTAAAAAGCGGAGGCAATTACTTTGTCGACAAAGGTCCATCTAGTCAAAGCTATGGTTTCTCCAGTAGTCATGTAGGGCTATGAGAGTTGGACTATAAAGAAAACTGAGTGCTGAAGAATTGATGCATTTGAACTGTGGTGTTGGAGAAGACTCTTCAGAGTCCCTTGGACAGCAAGGAGATCCAACCAGTCCATCCTAAAGGAAATCAGTCCTGAATATTCATTGAAAGGACTGATGCTGAAGCTGAAACTCCCAACACTTTGACCACCTGATGTGAAGAGCTGCCTCATTGGAAAAGACCCTGATGCTGGGAAAGATTGAAGGCAAGAAGAGAAGGGGATGACAGAGGATGAGATGGTTGGATGGCATCACCGACTTGATGGATATAAGTTTGAGCAAGCTCCGGGAGTTTGTGATGGACAGGGAAGCCTGGTGTGCTGCAGTCCATGGGGTCGCAGAGTCGAACATGACTGAGCGACTGAACTGAACTGACTGAAGGTCTCTTCTGGGTATTCTTGCCACCTCTTCTTAATATCTTATGTTTTTGTTAGGTCCATACCATTTCTGTCCTTTATTGTGCCTATCTTTGCATGAAATCTTCGTTTGGTATCTCTAATTTTCTTGAAGAGTTCTCTAGTCTTTCCCATTCTGTTGCTTTCCTCTATTTCTTTGCATTGATCACTGAGGTAGGTTTTTTTATATCTCCTTGCTCTTCTTTGGAACTCTGCATTATCAGATGGGTATACCTTTCCTTTTCTTCTTTGCCTTTTGCTTCTCTTCTTTTCTCAGCTATTTGCAAGGCCTCCTCAGACAACCATTTGCTTTTTTGCATTTATTTTCTTGGGAATGGTCTTAATCACTGTTTTCTGTACAGTGTTACAAACCTCTGTCCATAGTTCTTCAGATGCTCTATCAACTCTAATCCCTTGAATCTATTTGTCACTTCCACTGTATAATCATAAGGGATTTGATTTAGGTCATACCTGAATAGTCTAGTGGTTTTCCCTACTTTTTTCCGTTTAAGTCTGAATTTGGCAATAAGGAGTTCGTGATCTGAGCCACAGTCAGTTCCCAGTCTTGTTTTTACTGACTGTATAGAACTTCTCCATCTTCAGCTGCAAAAAATATAATCAAGTGTGATTTCGGTATAGACCATCTGGTGATGTCCATATGTAGAGTCATTTCTTGTGTTGTTGGATG